AGAGCCTGTTATTCCGAAGCTCGAGAGCTTCTGTATAAGACCAAAGTGTGAAAAATTGTCAAATGATTTGCTAAAGTTTATGAATATCATATCAACAGACAGACCGTTATTATTTTTATTAACAAACATCCTGTGGGTACATAAGTCTTATGAAGAAACCATTTCGGTTTCTTCAAAAATGCAATAATACACAAGTTTCAATAAGGTTAGCATTATATTTGCCATATTTGAAAAATAGAATAATAATAAAATAATAATAATAAACCGGGTTCTGTGTAGTTGAGAAGAATATTGAATTGAGTTTAAAGAAGGGAAGGAAAAAATAGGGGAATAGAAATGAAGAAGACGTGAAATACGCAGATAGTTTAATCGGCATGTTTATGAACACAGAGCAAAAATAAACGGCTATGTATGTGTCGTCAAATTGGTAACAAAAATAAAATACAAAACAATCAAGGAAAAATAACTTATTATTGAAATAAGATATAACGCTAGAATAAATGTTTGTGCAGTCATAGTTTGGAGTGATGCTATGAAAGTTTCAATTAGATGAAAAGGATAACCAAATATTAATTTGTATGAGTTATATATGCATAGTGAAGATAAAACGAGTCTGAGAAGTTAATTTACGTGTTAATTTAGGTAATGTATATCCTATCCACTTCCAACGTCTTTTTCTAATTTCCTCTTCAGCTGGAATCTGGTTTGTCCTCTCCCACAGAAGGCTGTTGCTGACGGTATCTGGCTAAAGAATGATGAGTATCTTGCGTAGACAACTATTTGTAAATACCTGAACATTTTTTATTATGGTTGTAGTTGTTATGCACGTTCCAGCTCCGTACATCTAACTTGAATAAATACGATTAAATTAGAAACGGTAGTTTTGATGAGTAATTTACTATCAAAATAACAAGTTTGACTCAACGAGGAGAAATATCACCGTCCGTTTAAGTAGCGCCCACAGGGAATGTGTCACCGATGCCGTTATTCAAAAGATACTTTTCACATTCAGAAGAGATGACATCCCTTTTTCGTCTTTTTATGGTTGAAACATGCAGTATAGAGTTCTTTATTTCATTCGTAAACCACAAGTATTTAGATCCTAACGTAGCAGTGTGACCTACTAAATTTCAAGTATTGAAGACCACGGATCACAAACCACTCATATGTGTATGTATTAAGTTGTTCTTCGTACATGCCTCACAAATTTTCAGTAAGTGATACGTGACTAGCAAAACTCGGCTTAAAAATGTTGAAAAGGCCCACAGTGAAGTTGTCCTTATTCGATCATTAAGAGTATTCAGGTGTTATAATTAAAGATTTGATAGCTGTGTGTGCTAAGTGGAGTGAATGGACGAGAATTCATATTGAGAGTAGTTTACCCGGTTATTGTCGACAAAAAAATCCGATCCGCTTTTTCGAAATGTACATTTATTCCAACTCGTTTCTTCTAGATCACAATATTTAATATATGGATTTTTTGGGAAGCATCATTAGGTTTCCGTAGTAAACAGTTATCGATAAGTCTATGCACTTAGGACGCATTTTTATCGAGGTATTAAGCACGACACTTAATATTAAAAAGGTGCTTGACTTAAGAAAGGTATTGTTTAGTGAGTTGCTGAAATTAGATAGTGGTTATACAGGCTGCTATTAAACGCAACTCAATTTCGTAAATCTGGCCTTCAGCTTAACAACCAGTCAGAATGAGGCGGGAATTATTATATCCGCCATCTTTGTAAGCAATAGCTGTCGGCTTTCTTCGTTCTGTGCTTTTTTCAGCTATTTCTTTTGTGTAGCTACAGAATTTAATGTTTCAGTGTGCTAAAATGCAGAAGTTAATGTAATACTCTGAATGTTGGAGCAAATTTTTCCTCATTTCGCTTTATTTTCTGAGTTTCGGCTGCTACTACTGAAGTCAATATATTTCTTCAGCCAAGCTGGCTAGTCTTATCGGTTTTGTTTTGACTTGTTTTCTAGATATCCAAAGCCGAAGCTCGTTTCTTAGCTAAAATAATTGTTGCTACCGCCTGTGACTAACTGTCTGCATGTTCGTTCCTAACTGTCCTGTATGATGTTATCGGCGAAATGAAAGGAAACAATCTCCGGTTTTCGATTTTCTTCAGTACTATGGACAACATTATCACACCAACGAGTCAAACTAATACAGAGTGCCCAGCAGTAGGGGATATCAGTATTGCTTTCGAAAGAACTCAGACTTCCGATAGCCATAGATGAATTCACAGATGCAGTAAGTTCAAAGTAGACACTAGTCTTTCTAAATAAGCCTGTTAAGCTAATATCCGTATTCTCTATTTCAGTTAATTGATGAAGACATGTACCACGTGCATCTGCTGTATACTGCCATTTCACTCTAATTCTAACCGTTATATCTTAGTTCTGAAAAATAAAATCGCTATATGCAGCAAATACAGACTAATTTGTTTTCATGGAGATAGGGGGGTTCATGGGATTTTTAGCAGGACTGTAGTAATATTCTCACTAAAGAGCCAAGCGAGTGCGTAGACCGATGTAAGGTACCATACAGGGTGGCTTTGAGTTACTAGTGTTCCATTAGTGTGGGTAGGGGCATTGCTTGCCTATCATATGGCATTTGAGTGGAGAGTTTGAGATTAGTCGCAGGTACGGTTAGGATGTATAACGCGTGTCCATCAGCTGCCGTGACAACTCATGGTGGTTAGAATAAGTTATGAGAGGACCTGAGTCTGTAGGTTTCACAAGAAAATGACGAAAATATGTACTAAATCACTTAAATTTACTACATATGAACTAGGTGCTGCGAGGCTCGTGTATCGCAAGTTTCTTGCAACGATTAAGTAAATAAAACAAAGTAGCATTAGATTTAAAAATTTATTCAGGAACTTTCATTAAGAATCGAATATCAAACAAAGATTTGAACGAAGTTCCCGTTTAAAAGTTGCATTGGTAATGTTAAGCTTCAGTCTTTGTTGTTTTTTCCAAACGAAAGGGTAAAAGAAGTAACTCAAAAAGTACTGGAAGTTGTTGTGAGACTAAAATGGACGTCCAGCATCCTTTTTATAATCTGCTGTTAGTTGGGTCTCCCGTAAACAGTTTCATAGGGCCATAGTTCTAAGGGCGAAACAGTTCTTAGGATCCGTGAAGACTCAGTCCTGTTGCAATCTAAACGAGAAAATGGTAATGAATTTAGTCAGAAATGTGGAATAGATAAATAACCAAATTACAAGTTTTTTAGCAAAGAATTTATGCAGTTGTGATTTACCTTGAGTTCATAAATATTAGATCAGGTCAGCTATTATTACTTGTGCAAAGCATCACATGGGTTTAGTACCGTATCGCAATGCTTTTATTATTCTGCTCCCATTTAAGTATTCCCATGCATCTGAGTCTAGTTTAACAGGAAGACATACAAGCAGAGTTAGTGTCTGACAAACTAAAAGTCCCAGTTGTCTAAAAGATTCTTAACATTTATCCACGGCCAGCTACATTTAATTGAGACACAGAACACTCATCTTCTAAGACTGTATACTGCTCTTCTGCAGGCGAATACAAGCTCAGACGCTTAGCTATCCTGCTACCGATGTTATTGCTGGGGAAATTGTTTAATGACAGTGGTCTTGAAATATGGTCAGTGATAGATGTACAGACTAGAAATAAACACCAAACATACTTAAAGCTATCTTATAATGTATGACAGCAACAGTACCAAAGGCATTTTTTCCCTATTTTTATTCAGACTGATTTCAATCAGTATACTCACTAGGAACAGGCAGCTCTATTTGCTAAACTGATCTGTTTCGTTACAGGCTTCAAGCACCATACTTAAGTGTACCGTAATTCTTCCGACTAGACTGAACTATACAACAACCAAGAACACTAAACTAAGCAAGTGTCATAATTATTGTTTCATTTGCACAGACATGTTGCTCAAAGTAGTTAAATGGATATAATTAAGCCGATAAAACCAAAACACGAAATATAGGCCAGTCGAACTTACCTAACAGAAGACAAAGGATATATATATATTGCTTTCAGGCTGAAGACATCAGTCAGTTGTTCATAAAAGGATAGTATACAGTACAACAAACCTTTCTTCAGTAACATCATGCACTGACGGTCTATCTGGAAACAATAAACTATGTGATTAAACTATGACCTGGGATATCATCCCAGCGTGCAATGAACGTACGGTGTAACGCAGTCAGACGTGGCGAATAAAAATCAAAAACAGAGCAAAATTAACAACATAATCTGGTTATTTAATTAAGAACCTTATGAAACGACAAAATCTGTGGTTACTTGAACGCACAGATGACCGTTATTACACTTGGCGATACATTAAGTTTACATGGTTGCGTTGCGGACAAATTCACCCGGTTAGAGGTAGTCAACAGGAAATCCCCGACCCGGGTTTCATGCTTTTTGGCACTCTTCAGAAAAGTGTACCTGTAATCTTTAGGGAACTGGTGCTCCCTGACGGATTCGATCTCGTGTAACCTAGGTTCACAGTCAAAGACGTTACCACCAGGCTATCCGGGCCGCGACCGACCTCCTACAGGACTGAGATATAGTCATTATTGATTGATCACTGGGTGGTGATCAACGTCACGTGTGTCAAGTCCTTCGTAGTGCAGAGCGAATGCTATCGAAGAAGTTGCAATGTGACCACTAGTCTAGGTTACTCGACATTGCGTGTACTATATTGAGATTTGATGGTGGTTGGAGACAGTCAACAGGAAACCCTCGACTCGGGTTTCGTGTTATTACAAGTTTCCTTGCTGACAATTGTCATGTAGCACGAAACCTGGGTCTAGGGTTTCCTGTTGACTATTTCCAACGACCATCTAATCTCAACATAGTGCACACAAATTTGAGTATCCTAGATTAGTTGTCAGGTTAAAACTTCTTCGATAGCATTCGATCTGCACTACGAAGGGCTTGACACGTGATATTGATCACCACCCATTGCTCAGTCAATTGTTAGTTGCTGAAACCCTTAGCGCCAAACGAATTGTTCTTCAAGGTCGGGACAGTATCAGCTGTTGGGGTCGTTTTTATAATCAGTTGTTCATCAACCTTAGTTTTGAAAGAGTGACAGTCTTACTGGGAGTAAGCATATCGAGTTTAATTTCGTTTAATAATTTTCGGACTACCCTTCTTTGACTACAATATCGCGTAGTTCACTTCGTTGTGCCCTAGTAGCTATTAGGAAAGTAGTGATGAAGGCGTATATTTAGGCGAAAAGTAAAAAATTCGGCGGCATCTCAAATGCAGAACGACAAAAAGGGGAAGGTTCTCATTATTTCATCATGACAGGCGAGAAATGGGACTTTGACTCGCCTCTCCACTCTTTTCCCCTTATTTTCTAACTGAATGTCCCCGCTATTTACTTCTTGTTCGTCCTTTGTCTTTATTGGTTGCTTTAGTTGATGGTCACCAACCAGCCCTACGTTATGATGTTTTTAGGAGATAAATTATCTGTGGCTTCACTATTGTGGTTTGGAGTAAGACCCTTAGGTCCTTATCTCGTTTCTTACCGACCTTCTCATGCAGTATAACGTTATACTGTAGGTGAAGTATTCCACGCTAATTTCCATCTTAGAGCCTCAAATACTATATGTTAGAGTGCCAGGATACTGAAGATATCTTAAAATCTAGTTGTATCCCTTGATTTTCAAATGTATTTCTGATGATTCAGTTCACGATTTGACTTATGAATCCTCGCTGATCATCCTATAGGATGAGAGCCTGTAGACTCTCAAGTAAATTGATGATTGTCCATATACCTTCAGCATCTTTAGTAGTCAGTCCCACCTACTTTTCTCACAGCACATATCACTTGATTATAATCCGTTTAATTCCCGTTTATTCAGTAGGAATCAGTCTCAAAGTGTCAGACTGTTTGATCTAAGTTCTACATGTCCACTTATTCTATGAATCATTTGGTTTTAAATTGCTGGTCGGTTTTTATAACATACCAAATATAGGTCAGATGTAACATATATGAGCATTTATGCCGTTATCCAAAATCAACCAATTCTTTAAATTTATTTATTTAACTATTTCTACACATAAATATCGGTACAAGAAGGCACCAAATACATATGCGCCACACCATATTTTTGTGTGTGTGGGCTGTGATACTGCCCGGGTGCCCAAACCGAAGCAGGTGGTTTTCTTAAGGGGCCACACCCCGAGCCTTTGACTTAAAGGTCTGATCCACAAGGCAGTGGAGCATCGTGAGGAGATACATTCCCATGGTAGCCGGTGACCAGCGATCGGTTCATACGCCATTTGTTCCCTCAGGATACTGGAGCCCATGTGCACCATTGGTTTGGAATCCGGTTAAAGCGCCGGACATTTGCTTTTCGTCCTCTCATTTTCGTAAACAACACCCCCGCCACGAGAAGGTTGTAGTGTCAGTTATTATGGCAAGCCCATATACCTTATTCTAACTTCCGGACATCCTATTTTATTCATTTTACTTGAGCCATATTTTGACCTTGTCAATTATTCGCTTGCCAGTCTTGACTGTTTTTATATGAGCGTATATGTGTGTGCCCTTCTTATCGCATTAATCACATGTCTGTAGCTTTATTTTGTCTGACTATAAATATTGAGTAATGCCTGGCTTGAAATGGAGTTGGCTTCCCAGCCATCTTCCATACGTGTCAAAATTGCTTTGTTATGGCTCTCGCTCGCTTTGCATGCGAACGGGCCATTAAAAGGTAATGAGTAGGACTTCCCTGGCAGAGGCTGTATACGCGTGGCCGTGTGAGAGCATTTCGAGAGGGAGGGCGAACCCACCCCACTCTCGGCCATACCAGGGCATTTGGGGAATTTCATGTTTTTGGAGCATGTTCAATAAATTGGATTGCCTTCAGTGAAATTCAGCAATCATATGCGAACTCATGTGCTCGACTTCAGTTTGTACTTTTCAGTGGTAAAGTTGGTGACATTATCGAGCTATATACACCCCGGTGAACGAAAAGAACGTTATAATCTACAAACTAATAGGTATAAGTCGAATGCATTATCCAACAACCAGCTGCTCGCGTACTGAGTATATTCGGAGACTGTGGAGATTGGTCCACACCACTATGTGAACGGAGTATCTTCTGTAAAAAGTAACACAACGCCTGTATTCTTTGCGGATGGCCTATGTGGATTATATATATTGGCCGTTGAACTGGTGTCATAGGGTATCAGGTCCTATAAATTCTCGATTTACAAGTAGGTTGCTGTTAAGTAGAAGTGGTTATTGTAAAGGAGTTCCATTCAATTTCACTTCATTTAAGTACGATTCATCTCAGGTTTACCCCTGAGATTTTCAAGGATGGCGGTTCAGTGTTGGCAGTGAGATTGACTGAGGTTTTAAGTAGAATCTGGGAACTGGACGTAACCCCATCTGACTGGTCTCAATCACTGATTGTGCCAGTCTATAAGAAAGGACTAAAGTCCTCTGGTGACAATCACAGAGTAATCAGTTTGACTAGTAGTGTCTAAAATATTAGCTTCAATAATACTTCGATGCCTAACTAAAGCTCATGAAGAGCAAACTAGAGAAAACCAGGCTGGTTTTCGACCTGGACATGGTTGTATAGACCAAATATTCACACTGCGCCAGGTTCTAGGACACAGACACATTCAGACATTCCACAATAGTAGTATTTCTCGACCTTAAGACAGCATTTGACCCTGATCATGAGGTTCTTTTGCAGTGTCATTGAAAGATTTACCAAATAAGTACATTAACCTTATAAAGGCTCTATACTCGAACAAACCTATCGAGTAAGAGCTTATGGCGAACTGTCATCAGAATTGATTACCTCAAGTGGTGTTCGTCAGAGCTGTCCACTCTCTCCATTCTTATTCAATTTTGTCGTTGAGGTGCTTTTAGAGATGACACTTTCCTTCCGGTAAGATTAGAGAATATTCGTGGGTTGCTAGTATTTAAACACAGGTGTCTTCGAAACATTGCTCGTATATCCTAGGACCATCGAGTGAGTAGCGCGGTTGTTAGGACACGGGTACTAGGTAAGGATGGCAAACCAATTGATGAAGTAGTGAAACTTCATCAGTTGAAATGGTTGGGACATGTGTTACGTATGCCCAACCACCGATGTGCGATGTTTCATGGTGTAGGATTAGGTTGGGAGAAAGCTAGGGGTGGCCAGACCAAAACATGACATAAACCCATGAAGTTACTGACAAGTGGACTGAGCCATGTTGGGATCCGTGAGACGATAGAAACCGATGGTTAGAGACCTTGAATGACATGGCTCAAAATCGTTTGAAATGGTGTGATCAGGTGCATTCACTCTTTGTGTTCCCCCAAATTCTAATCTTCCGAATTCTTCATGTCCCTTTTTTCTCTTTTTAAATCTATTTCACTGGATTATACTCCTCGAATAACATCTCCAAAATCTAATCTTTTCGATCACTGCCTATACTTTTACTGCCCCTACCATTATGGGATTTCAATCGACAATTGCATCTCTGTGCTAATGTGGTATGACAACCTGAACTGTTGTACGTACGTAAAAAGTTCTCCGTTGTTGCTGACTGATTCGTTCGACATCTTACTCTCCCAATTTTGTGAAATAGCCGTTTACATTGATATCAATATGTCTCCTTGTTTTGAACATCTTAGATTCCATTCTGATTCATCCCGGTTTCTGTTTGTGTACTGTCTTGAAAATATAAACCGTTTTGTGGAGTCATTATCAAAGTTATAGCTGATAGTCTACAGTCAAAACTTTATTTTGCTTCTTACTAATAGTACGTGTTTCTCATCTGAGTTATTAACTGATTATGTGGATTCAGTATTTTTAAGAAAATGAAGTTACTACAGAGGATGGGTTGATTAGATAGAAAAACCATGCGTAAGCCATTTGTGTGTTTTTAGTACACCACCTTTATACATTACCAGAAATACAAGCATTTCAAATGATGGGTCTGTTCTTTTATCTGACACAATACAAACATCAAAACACGCAAAACATCATTTACTTAGTAATTTGTGATAAGGCATATATTGTTTCTGTAACTTTTATTTATGATTTGATTTGAAACTTTTACCAGACGAAGAATTTGTATTTAGTCATTATCTCATAGGTATGGACCTTCTCCCCACTTAGTTCAATTTCGTATTATTTATTTGATGTTCAAAACTACAATAGATCAGTCTCTTTTGGGATATATGCATCCGATTGCTTCGACATTTCCTTAAGTCACTAGAATTATAGGCAGAGATGGATGGTGGTTAGCAGTGAAATTCAAGGCGCTCGTTTGACTCTACTTTGGGCTCGTCAGCCGAATGTCACTGCATTCTGGACTTATTCACTCCTGGACTCGAACCTGGCACCGTTTGCTTCGAACACCACCTCATTATCCTTTTAGTTTTTGAGTCCAGATAGCCACTAACTGATAGGGCGAAACCCGTGTCTTGGATTCTACTGATAGCCATCATTCTCCTCATTTAATTCGGTTTAAAGAACAGATTAGTTCGGTGGTCTCAGTAACTGGATCAGAGGATTGCACATAAGTCTGAGCTAATTTAACTATCATGATTTATGGTACTGGTCCTTTTTTCTTTTCAGCGTGATATTCACATACTAAATGCTTGATTAACTTCATGTCTCCAACTGCTAAACTTAAAAGGACATTCTCCCTACTGGTTGGTTCGGATATAACTATAAAATTTCTCTTACCTAATGGGATTATAATACCACTTACAGTAAGTTGTCTCTGTAATTTTTTATATATAGAAAATAAATCTATAATTTTCTGATTATCATAGCCGCCTCATTAGTTGAGTAATTTGACATCGTTTATTTCACATCTCAATAATATATTCGCATTATTAAAGGATGCTTTCGTAAAATATAAAAACCATACGTTAAGTGCTTCATTTGTACACCTTCCATCAATTGTTTCTTACAAACTTCACCGTTCCTTCATTCCTGTTGTTACAATTACCCTCTGTTTACATTCCTTTTCTCCTCAATTCGATTTCAACATTCTCCTGCCAGGCATCCCACTTCTGATTAGTGTTACATACTACTTATATTTGTCAACATAAGTAGCCTACGTCACATAAATACTAGTGAGTTTAACTACATTTACCACTAATATAGTGATCATTATAGGGCCAGTGAAATGATCATAACTCCAGATAGTTTGCCAGCTCGTAAATCTAATAGAATGCGTCAGTCGATTGTAAAGCAGTTGTCTGAAAAATCTTTTATTTTGGGATTTATGTATTAGAGCTCTAAATTTATAATACCTGTTGGACATATTTAGCACCCACCTACTGACCACCGAGTTAATAGATCTCATAACTGCCTACTTTTTATTGTGCTGTTGTTATTCATCGTTATTAGTCTTAAAAACACCAGATTGCTTATGGTTGATATTACTAATTTCTAAATAAACGAACGAGAAGCCAATTCGGTAATTAAGCCCTTGTTTTTGGTTAATGAGGACCAAAAATTCAATATAGTTGTAAATCTTTGTTGACTAGGATCTTTAAGATGACTTAATAGGTCAAAGGAACATAGACTAAATTATGAACCCTATGACAAGAACCTTGAAATTGGGTTAAGTTTAGCTGCAGTACTCGAGGTCTGTACCTACTCTTTATAATAATTTTTATGTTAAATAGGCTGTCACAAAGGAGCTATGAAATAGTATGGATTGGTGTGTTTACATATTTTAGTCGGTTTTAAGTAAGTTACGGGGTCAGTTTGTTTCATCCCAAGCGCCATTTAAGTTCATATATTTGAAGCGTATCCTTACCCAGTGACTATACAAATAATCTAAGTAGTTCAACTGGATTTACTCATATTTCTATACAAATCGAGCGTGTTTGTATTTCTGTTGTGTTAATGTTTCTCAGTCGGCTTTTTTATTTTCTGACTGTTTTCTTTATGTGTAGTGTAGCTTCACAAACCGATATGTCATTACTATTGAGTCAATTATACTTGTTTTTAGATGAATGTTCAACCAATATTATTTCACATGTCAAGATTTCAATATGCTTAGAACTTAACAAACCAACCAAAAATGTATAACGATCATATTGTTTGTGTATAATTTTTCAGGTGAATTCAGAGTCAACATTAGAAGAAATCAAAGTACAGCTTTGGATTTCCGCAGCAAAATTACCATTATTTGATATATTACAATCAAAGAATGACTACATATTTGTTGGTGTTAACCGAGAAACTGGTGACGAAGAAGAGTTTTATGATATAAATCGTCGACTTCATGAAATTCCACTTCTTTTACCTTACTTACGTGTTACTGAAATCGCAAGAGATACTACCCTATTAAAAATCAGTAATCAGAATGCTGCGATCTCCAGGTGATTATTTTTGTGTTGAAAAATGAAAATTACATTTTCTATCAACTATCTGCTAGCTTGGATGTTTTTGTGGGACCTTTATCATTGAAGATTATAATTCTACCGTCTTAAAACATTTTGGTCATGTTTCACTCAATCTGGCTTAGCGGCTTCCATATTGTGCATTATATACTGACACTGGGGATGAACACGAAATCAAACGGGCATTCAGTTCATGATATGAGGTCAGGGAAGAAAGAACAATTATATCGGCTTACAATTCACCTGTTCATCACGGCTCTTTAGATGGGGATCCCAGAAGTTGTGTAACTCAACTGATTTATACATTGCCAGACATGAATCAAAATAATATCCAGTGTCAGTCATGCTGTAGTTTTTTCGTGTTGTTCATAAAAAGTGGTTTTGAATGGTATCTGTTTTGTCTTTCTATTCAAAACGGTACAGTTTAACGTACTCATTAATCACGAAGTTTTCCTTCACTTATTTCTTCAAAACATTGTTATTTGTCTCTATTTAGCACGTTTCTGATTATTTTATTGTGACAAGTAATACTGGGGTGGGTTTCTGGCTGGAAATTCTACCATGGATAAATGTTACGAACCGCTCAGTTGAGCATATTTCTTTGACCATTTTTTTCAAATCAAGTACAATAATATTTGAAGAGAAAAATAAATCCATCTAATTTCAAGGCTTTATCAGACATTATCATACATTCCTTAAATGTGCATAGAATTAGTCTAAGAGGGGATCAAAATTGTACTTCTATGATCAAATAGGAAAAAAAGTTGGTATCTCATTAACGAATTAATCCAACATTTAAATTACGAATGATGATACACAAATATGACTACTTATAAGTAGTTGAAAACACATCTCAGTGTAATGTTGATGTTTCAACTTAATTATTCCTCTCAACAATTCTCAAAACCTTTTATTTTCTTCTTATTGAATAACGAATGTATAATCCTGATTTGATTGTTCGTAACTAGAGAAATAGAAGGAACAAATATTAATGTTAACCTTACATTTTAAATGCTGTCGCTTTCTTTTAGGTCACTACATTAGAGCAATGAGTTTTATCGTCTATTGACACACTGATGTTTAATATGAATATTTATACAACTAATGTTTCAAATATAATTTTTGTCTGAGTAGTTAAACTCAACTGATAACAAACCATAAAAAATAGTTTTCGCAATTGTTAGAAAAAGTAAGTACAAAACATGATAGCCAAGAATTCCAACTATCGTCATTTAAATGTGAATAGTTTACTAGTTTTAAGTTTACGTGCATTACGACTAAGCTTCTACTAACCCAAGGTGATGTAATACTTCATTCACCTTAAATCCATGATTTATCCCTGCCGAAGATTCAAAATACTTCAAGTTAGCAAGCATTCTTTTCGGTATCAACATCACAGTTAATATGTCCATATTCATTGTTGTTTATGGCATGAAATAAAGTTTTTTATGCAATGATCTACGATAAATCATTGCTTTTATGCATATGGAATTTTCACATCAACTAGTTTATGTACTGCTAGTACAGTTTAGTATGACTTAGCAGCTAATTTGTCAAGTAAATTCCAAGTAATTACAAAATTCAGTAATAATGAAAAGTTGATTTATTACTGTGACTAACAGATTTCGAATATCGGACGTAAAGGTTGTAAGTGAGTGCTTACGAAGTTACGGATCTCATCAGTTACGTGTCAATACGATTACTATAATATCCGTATGCGCTAAATGTACTACTAAATCTCGAGGAGTTGAGACTACTAATGCCACTGTCTACACTTGTATTATACTCAGTAGTTGAATCGTTACTATAGCCATAGTGAGTCTAGAAAGACTCTAATTATGGTAATCGTAGATGTAGAGCTCTAAACTAGCTTAATAATGACATTTAACATATTTCAGAAAGCAAATAAAATGCAAACAAGTTTTCATATTGTGACATCATGCAAAGATAGCTCTATGACTGCATTTCTGCCATACAGTAGAGGGGGCAACACAAATACGGAACCAATATCGAGCATTTAACTATGAATAAAATTAGAGAACTCTGACAAAGCTAAGGTAGGCGAAGTAACGTCCAAAAGTTTCCTCAAGGAACCCAGCCAAAAATCAACGTCCTAGTTGGTTAAGATAATAAATGAGTTATGAGAAAAATATCAGTGATTGCTAATGTTATTTTATTAGAGGGAATAAGAATCATTTTGTAATGATCGTAGGTTGTCTTAACAGTCTTCTAAATTCTAGGGTTCATAATTACTCAATACCTGACTGGAGCCTGTGTGGGGATGTCTCGATCATGTCACACTAGGCCCAGAAATACAAGAGTACTTAATATTTTAAAATCTCTATTTTCCTTAACTTGAGGAAGGCTTTTAACTCAACCGCTCAAGAATCGCTTCACAGTGTTTGGGTTTAAGAAGAGTACCAAGCAAATCGGTTTGACTACAGAAAAATAATTCAAAAGTATACAGTTTTATAGGGGATTATTAAGAAGTTATATACCTTTCTAACTACGCTTTTTTTGAGAACTAGTGATATTCGAACGACCGCATAGATTGAAACAGTTGGACCGTGTTTCAAATATTCAACCTCAGCAGTTGAAGGTTAAACGCTCTTCTCATCAACCCACAGCATGTGGATGGTAGTCCTGTCCTGCGAAGACGCTAAACAAACGGAAAGCCATATCATCACGTTGAAAAAAATCAAGACGTGACTAACAGTCATTTATCACAGTTGGGCATTAAGTTATGTTAAATAGCCGGTCTAGACAAACACTTAGTTTAAGAATGAGCCGTTAATTGACTGAGAGTGTATATCAGTTTACTTATTGGTGTAGTTACATTCTCCGTGATATATTTTTTGATATTGAAATTTCTTTAATTCATTATTGCATTATATAGTTTACAAATTTTACTTTTTTAATATTTCAGTTGTACAGGTATACCACATACAGATATCATACGTGCTTGTAGAACAAACCCTGAAGTAAAATGGGCACGATTACGTTTATTACGTGTAGCTAATATGCATACAAAAGCATTGAATCAAACCGGATCAGATGGCTTGATCCGTTACTTAACTTCAGCTAGTAAACGTGAACTAAGCCAGTCATTAAAAGTTCTTCTCCAAAAGCAAACACATCTTACAATAACAGCGTGGGTATTAGATGGTAAAGACCCACCGGAAAAATGTCGTGTTGTCCTCGAATTGGATAAGAAAGCTACTGTATTTAACGCTCTAAATGAAATTTTGCATGCGCAAGCTGAACTGGCTAGACAAGATTGTCAAGTTAAAATGAGTTATGGTCTCCCAGATGCATCAAATTATTTACTGAAAGTTTGTTGTTCACAAGCTTATCTATTCGATTTGAACGAATTACTCATTCAATATGAATATATACAACAATCTATTGAACATCATCAACATCCTTGTTTAAGTCCAATTTTAAAGAACGACATTAAACAAAGTTTGCATAACTGTCTTAATGAATATAATAAAAATCCTATCTATCAACTGAATCATAACAATGATAGTTCGATAATCTCTTCGAAATCCACCCTAAATACCTATACCAATAACTTTGATAAAAACAACAATAACTCAATTGATTTATATCAACAGTTAGAAAATTTTTTAATCAATCATGATAAATTTGATAAATGTGAGACTGATGAATGCATAAGCAACATTGACGACAATTTTATCGACTGTCGATCATCTATTGATTTCAACAAAGACGATGATACATCCGCTTTTGACGTTATTGATAGTGCTCACACAGTCCTCTTATCTGAAAACTGTTCTTCAAAAAATGCTGAAGGTATTCAAAAGAATTTAACATCTCCATTTACACTCACTTCTGACCGTCAACAAAATGTATCTCTTTGGGAACTAAGTGGATTTTTAAGTATACAAGTTTGTTCAGCACAGTTTCTTGTCGAAAATATTACAAGTTTAAATTCTTCTTCCACAACCTCCCTCTCTTTATCAACAATTTCATTTCCGTCCTCTTCAGTACATCAGTCAAATCCTAACTTAAATGTTGTACAGCATACAAGCGTACATGGTGGAGCTGCTTTGGATGGAAGTTATGTTGTACGAGTGGGAATATTTCATGGTAGTCAGTTTTTAATTGAATGTCAAGTAAGGTGATCATATATATATATATATTCGTTAGCTTTAAAATTTACTTTTTCTTTGTAAAAAATAAGCAATCATTCAATTTTTATAGGTTCCGATTATGAAATAATCATATGCTCATATATTATTATCTTAGTGGCATTTTCCTAGATTAAAGGGAACGAATTATTGTTTGTTCTGCAAAACCATTGAATCATCAGTAATGTCTTGAACATTTTTCACTATCAACTAACTGTAGGTTGTATTCAGGCGATGTGTTTTAAGGTTTATTCACTTTCTTGTTGTTATACTTCTCAGACCTGACTTTTGGGTAGCCTTCTGACAACTTTACTTTATTGTGAGATTTAATCTTGCTACTGCTCCCCCCCCTAAACTGCTATTGGCGTTACCTTCTTCAGGACTAGAATATGTGTAAAATCTGTATCATGCTAGTCTCGTTAAATGGTTGTCTCAGTGAACTATTTTAACCAAATTACTACACTCTGTATTAAGTTGCTACATTTTTCAACAAAACTAAAAAAAAAGGAATTAGGCACTTTTAAAGAATTGCGCTGGATTTGAGTATAAATTATCAACTCTGTTCAAAAGAAGAGGAATAAAAATGTTCAGATTTACCAAAGTCATATAGTATTTTATTTGTGTGTCAATATTTCTTTTTTCTTAATTTCTCAAACTTACTTTCTGTGGTACATAAACTTTTTGATATTTCATGTATTTGCGTTCCAATTCTATCTGTTAATGACTATCAGCTATGTGTTTCTCAAAGGGTATACTTTATTTCATCTTATTGGAATTTAGATTTACATCTCTAAAACTGAAAAAAATTTTTCTTTCCTTTACAATATACTTAGTACTTCATTCTGTTTTCCCAGTTTCGTGTTGATAGTAGTACTTGGAATCGATTCTTTTATTAAAAAGTTTCCTAGTTTGGTAGTGTTTTCCCAACTGTTTTCATTATTCACTCCATAGATATTTGCATCTCTCAATTGTACCATGTGCTAGCTGGATCTATGAAGATCCCTTTCTAGTGATTTTGATAGGTTGTTTCGTCAAAACATACTGCATAAGAATTTTGGAAATACAAACGGTTTCTTGACTCATTTATAACTATATTTCTACATGTATTTGTAATTTTACTGACTCATGAACTTTATTAACCAACAATAACACCATTGGATATCGGCTCAGTGGTATAGATGTTAAGGGTTCGCGCGCGAGACCGATAGGTCCTGGGTTCAAATCTTGCGATACGAGATCGTGGGTACACGTTGCTGAGGAGTCCCACAATAGAACGAAACGACCGTCCAGTGCTTCCAAGTTTTCCATGATGGTCTAGCCTCAATTGACTCATGATCTCAACTATTGAAATATTACAAAATTTGCACAGCGGTCAACATATCCAGTCATTGATGTATCATAAGCGTATTAAAAATTCTTTGGTATTGATTGAAGAGCGGTTATGATCAAAGCAGCAACTGTTGGAGTTTAAACGGGATTCATATTCGTCCATTTTAGATTTTAGAACCAGGTATTGTAATAATCATCCTTCACACGAAATTATGTTAGCTAATTATTGTCCACTTTATTATTGGCTTGCATTAACATTTATTTGGTATTAATGTCTAAGTATTTTCACTTAAGCTTATCTTTTCAAAAATATAGAATTTTATGGAAATGTATTTTACTTTTTTTTCTAGACAACTAAAGAAAGACCGGGAAACTACTTAACATGGCGTGAATGGCTTAATTTTCACATTCTTTTAGCTGATCTACCTATTGCTACGCGCATCTGTGTAGCGCTTATACGAATCAGAAAAATTGTGGATCGAAAAAACGTGAGATTTGTAAGTTGTACTAGTAAATAACTTATACAGTCTCAATCAGGACTGAAACAACAGATGCTTTGTAAAAGTGTCTTTCATTTGGTGATACTTTAAAGATTAAATGTGAAAAAGAACATTATGTTTTGTTTTACATCACTTCAAAATATTGTGGTAGAAAAAGTGCACGGTATAAAATGGTTGAAGTTATTTGCCTAAAATTCAATAGATAAAATAGATGATTCTGTGTAGTTGAATTTAGTTTGTTGAGATTAGTAAGATACATAAATTACCGTTCATGCAATGTATTGGTATATGAAATAGACATTTTCTCCACTCTACATTTGGATTAATATGGTTATGTGATTTCCATAATTTTACTTAGAAGTCCATTCTACATTTAAGCAGATCAAGTTTAGTTATTAAATCAGTTTTTGTTTGTAGTGTCAGTTTGGTTCAAAGTATATTTCTTCGGAACAATTACTTTTTGCAGCCATGAAATAGGTGTCGTCTAATGTTCTAGCAGTTCAGCGTGACACAAGGTCCTGTAAAAGTGATTGTATTTACTGTCGATTTGTGATAAGTCTTGCGAATTTGAACACTATATTCGTCTCCTAAGCTATTCTGTAACCCCCAAGCTAGAACCATACAGCGACCTGAACACGAGAGAGAAGACGCAAAGTATGCGAGAAGTAATTTACTCCAAGGTTCATTCTAATACAGAAAATACAGGGTTTTTATAATATTTTAAATGTCCTTGGGTTGCTAGAACATTCTGAAATGCTACTAAACGTAGTAGCAGTGTAGCAATTAGCCAATCAGAACCTCTACATGTGACGTTTCACTTCCTTGATATTTTTGGCTGAAACTTCAAGTGAACGCTGATTGGATGAAACGCATCTTAGTGTTTCCTGATGCTTGTTTGTCTTTTGCAAGCAATTTTCTGGATCACTCCAACGATTTGTATGTTCTTAATGTAGTCAGTTTCCGTCCTCATATCATTCCACTCAATCATATGAGTTCAATACTGTTAACCTTGTCTTGAAAAGATCCAGGGCTTGTATACATAGGTTTTTTATTGCTTGTTTATATCACATAAGGGAATAGTTCATCAAGTCTTCAAGAGCGAGGTCGAGTAGCTCTTCAGTCTACTACACTCGATTGTAATTTTCAATATGATTGCTTAGACTGCTTAAAATTTTGCCCTTAAAGATGTTAGATTATTCAATCCGTTGGGCACAATTTTGCAGCGTATTAGTACAAAAATTTATGTTTTTTACGGTTAGTTTTTGTTGGAAATTAAATATATTCTCAGTTATCAAGATATGAAATTAAACTTTAAATACATTTCTATCATTTTCGTATAATATTTTTCCATTTGATTTTAGTGTGAATACCTATATGGCTGGGGTAATGTCAATTTGTTTGATCACAATGGTTTCATGATCACGGGTGAAATTACTTTAAATTTATGGCCACCCTCTTTAGTTCAGACGGCAGATGAAAGTCTTCATCCTTGTGGTACTGTACTTGGTAACCCCAATCCTGAATTCTCAATACAGGTTAATCTTATTCTATTAATATTTTATTCATTTGCTCAATGTTTTCAGGGAATCAACTTGAAGTTGTGTATTATGCATTTATTGTCAGTTTCTCCAGCAAGAATAATTTTTCATCTCAATGTCTAATCTGTATCACTGAATAACAAATTTGAAATGTTCTCAACTTTTTCTAGTTTATCATAATTGTTTTACATAAACAAATCGTTTCATAGAACTTGGTTACTATATGCGGATTTTGAATCCATTGTCTCTGGTTACATTGTTTGTCAGTAAATTGTATAAGTACGACTATGCTTAACTTTCAATCTTTTGACATATATACTTGACTAAATATATTAAAGTAATTCATTCATCCTGTACTTATATACGAGCCACACACTAAATGTAAGGGGTACTGATATCATCCGGTTACCGAAACCGAATTAGGTAAATCGGGGTTCGAACCTAGGACTTAGCGACTAAAAGCCAGGCATCTTAATCCCTAGATTAAATAACTGTTAAGTTTATGAAAACAGTTGGGCCTACTATGATTTCCAATTATGGACTATCAATATTATTCAACTATGAACGAGATCTTTTACGCATTCGATATTACGGGAACTGACATGCACAAAACTTTAACAATAACTTGAAAATTATGGAACCTAAGAAAAAGACAGGAGTCTCGAAAAATTTAATATTTAGCGAAATTAGATCATATGCTCTTTTAGCTTAAGATAGTTGTTTACATCTACCTTTTTTTAATTATTCTACAATTCTAATCTTGTTTTAACCATAAGGCATTAAGATAAATATTTGTGTTGGTAGAGATATTAAACTAATTTATAGAACAAATAGTTTAGATATATGTGATAATTTGTTCCTCTTTTATTAACTGATATCATAACGTATATTTCAACGCATAGTTTCTTTCAAGTCAATAGGACGTGATTCACTTCTTTTTTTTTTACTTTAAAGCAGAAAAGGTTTTAAGGTACTTTTGTAAGTTCTCGAAACTTCGCTAAAATTTAAAAATTTTCAGTCATATACAGTTTTTATGACTTATTTCAATATATTTTCTTGAATTTAATATAAACAGCAAGTACCTCTACCTTTACAACATTATGAATGATTAAAAAGAAAACACGTTTCAGGATGCTCTTCATATTGTATAAATCACATCCGTTTAAATTTATTCTAGATACTTGTTTTTGGTGTTTATATTCAACTTTATAAAAAAAAACAACGTTGATTATAGATTTAATTGTCTTCTGCAAAATTAAAGGCGTGTCTTTTTGTTTAATTAGATTCAATAAATCATTTAATACAATTGACGTTACATTGAGATTAGATAAAGACAAAAAAAACTATCTTATGTGAAATGAATTTAGTGTAGAAACACTTTAGTTAAAGTAGACATTTATGGTACGTTTTTATGTATGTATGTAGGTGTAAACAGAGTTGTTCATAAAATCAATCATGTATTTGTGTAATTTTAAACAATTATGGTGTACTCAGTTACAAGGAGAAAAAAAAAGCAAATGATGTTGTGTATGTATATGTATTAATTGTTAACTATTTCTTGTCGTTATTATACGTAAATAAAAAGAACATTATAGACATACATGAATAATATTGCATATTACTATATAGACTTCCTCTATTAGATTCTATGTTTTGTTATTCTGAAACTGAGTCAAATATTGAATGTTTCTGTGATCTTGGTTACTACATGAACGTTAATTGGTGTTGTTTTTTTTTCTTCCAGTAATTTGGCACACTGTTCATGTTTGATTTCAAACCTACCTCATTGATAATCTATATACAAATGCAGTAAATAGCTTCAATAATAAATATAAACCTAAATCAGATGACTAGAGTGTCTTTTCGTTTTGTTTTGTTGTTTTGACTTGTTTTCTTGGTAATCATATTTCTGTTCCGTCTACAACTAAACTTAAAACAGAATTTCAGATGTTCCTTTATCGTCACCTGATTGATAAGTAGGCATGAATTTTCAGTTTTACTTCTTCTTTTCTCTTTAGGCTGAAAAATTTATCGCACGATTTAAGTTACAACTATGTGAGCACTTATAGTGTTCTTTTTTTTCGCTAAGTGGGTTCTAATGAGGTTGTTTGATGTATGGCTTGTGGCCGCTAATTTAACGCATGTGATGTAGACTTAGTTAGACATCATGGAACCAAGATTTCAAACTTAAAGTTGAAGAAATTTCAAAAAGATTTGACTGCAAAGCTATGACTGAATTTTAGTTGCCAATGCCTTCAAGACTTTCCACAAACTCTGTCATACATGAAGATTGTCGTTTATGACGAATCCTTTGTGGAGTGCATTCAATTCTGAGTTAATAATTTGTAAGTGGTGTCCAGATTTCGATTGATTTCTAAGTATTTTATTAAGTTCTATTTGTAATTGAAATCATTGTCATTTCCAATCATTCAATATAGCTCACATTCTAACTATAGCTTTTTATCCCGAAGTAAGTTCATGATTTTATGAACGAATTTTCGACTTCTATAATAAAAAAAAACGCTGATTGATAGTTTACATGTAATTGTACGATGTGGTCACGTGATAGTTGCTCACGAGATCTTATGATTTACCCTAGACCCCTATAAAACTGGTATCAGAAGATCAGACAGCCGGCCAGTAGAATAGGTTTATTTGTCTGAAAAAAATAGCACGCATATATACAAAATATTGAACACAAGAATAAACATGGCTAGGTCTGATAAACTATTAAATAAAATCAATTTTGTAGGTCGCTCATTCTCTAGTTATTTGCAACTGAGGTTCTATACGTTCGAGTGTCGTTTGTTGTATATCGTATCCTGCCGTAATCAAGTAGAGGACGTAGCAAGTAAAAGACCTAACTGTTCGGGTTTCCCCATCCTATCATTTTATCGCACGACTACCACGATTACTGACTTGGTTCGGCCATTTCCTAGTGTTCAATAAATCTGGAGTCTCCAGCATTTTCCTGTTCATTCGATTAGTGAGTGAGTGCTGGATATAAGAGTGCAATTTCCAACCGAGGTTTTATTTCAAGCCTTAAATTTCACTATATTTGTATTTTTCACCTTACATTTTATGATATGCTACAATGACATGTTCATAGGAGCCTGGTATAAATAGCTTTTGATGGTAAAATGAAATGTTTTGTGAAAATAGCCTCTTGTGTGCGATAGGTACTCATTAAATGGACTGAAAAATGGGATGCTGCGTACTTATTATACACTGAAAGACGACCGAGTAACCTCAGTTCATACAGCGTTTTAAATAGTTTGAGACATCATGATTTAAATGAAAAGATGGTCATCAACAACTATCGTAAATATAAAAATGGAAATTGTATATGTAGTGATTTCGGTGATCTCCCCAGTGATCTGGTCCAGGCATCTAGTAAATAACCAAAGATCACAACTACCGAAAGTCGGAGTTATCTTAATTTTAGTCACTGAAAATTTTACAAGCATAATTTCCTTTTCAATGTCTCCCATGAATTCGGGGTCCAGGTATTGTGAAACTATTTGTTCAAATGTAGATTGTTTTTACAAAATTATTATAAACAGTTGGAAGTTTGCATTTGACATTATTGTTTTTCACATCTAAATCAGACTGATGTAAATGGAGCAAAATTAAATAACCTAATTCCAAATATTCGAATAAATTAACTCTACATCTGTAGTTGTCGTACTTGGAGTAAAACAAATAAATTCCATGCGTTCTTATTGAATATATTAGTTTAGACTGTTAGATTAGCTCACCAATCTGTATGATTGTACTACGTGTACTGGAGCTTAGAGCACTATATAACATATCCTTCAGTGAAAATAAGCTATCAAGAGTAATATTAAAATGGACATATTTATTGTTCAGGCAACTATTTACACAAATATGTACGATATTCGATAGTATGTTCCAGTCTAGACATAACACGTGACTATGCTCACGTCCCATCTCAAAGTCGAACGTTATGTGACAGATTATAAATAAGGTACGTTTTAGAAAGAAGCTAATCATACACCTACTCATGGTTTCGTCCCGCATGTATTTGTCTGGGTCAGAAGGACTGGTTCATTTATGCTTATGGTTTGTGTACACTTGCTTCGGTTTACCAGTTTAAGCATACTAGTCATTTCGCATTCTTCTCACTCTCGTTAGTGTTTGGGCTAGCATATAAGTTTATCTATATGGATATGAATCGGAAGGCAGTTACCCACCATAGACAATGGAAGATGGTCGCCTAATGTCGTGGATTGACCGAGGTTAGGCATTAACACTGTTGAGTGCCGACTCAGTGGTCTGGAGATGGTTAAGTGTTCGCACAAGAGACCGAAGATCCTGGGTTTGAGTACCACATGCGGGATCATGGATGGGGACTGGTGTGGAGTGTCATACTAGGACGAGACGGCCATCCAGTACTTCCAGGTATGCAATGGAGGTCTAACTTAAATCGGTTTATGACTCAATCCAAAACGTGGCATCAGTGCTTGACGTCACTAACTTCTAGTCTGAGCCATGTTGGTAGATGCAGACTACTTGGTTGGGGTCCGCGTGACTATCGTAACCAATGGTTGGAGACTCTTGGTGACATGGCTCAGAATCGATCACAATGGCGTCGGTGTATAATTCCCTGTCTTTCCTTAAACTAAGAGATTAAAATCGCTTCATACCTTTCTTTCTACGAACCAATTTTTTCTTCTTGTACTGTATCTTTATATGCAATCTTTCTCTTATATATTACTGCCTTTGACATAACCACTGCTATGAATCCGGTTTTCATCTTGTTGTGCTGATGCGGTATGGCAACCTGGACCGATGCACATATGTGCCTGGTCCTACGTTGTGGCTGACTGACTGACTGACTCAATCCAACACTGTTTGTTTAGTATATATATGATGTTCGAGGGCCCTTACAATTTCTTCGTTTCATAGGATGCCTTAGTTATGGTATTGTAGAGCTTTTTCAATTTTGTGTATACACGAATTCTAATACAACTGCGCTTCTTTCTAAATGAAGAAATAAAGCGCGAGAGATGTAAAATAGATGGTTTAGATCTGACAGATTAAAACTTAGCAGTTATTTGCAAGATTTCAAATGTCTGTCCACAACCATTTAATAACATCAAGAGATTCATCACCCACTCTACCATTTAGCCTTCAACACTCTCAGGAACACAGTATATTTCTCTTTAAAAAGTCCAGGAAAAAAAATGAAGAAGAGTGTAGGATAATAGGCGTTATAAATAAATTTACAAATCGTAGAATTATCGGATGATGCCTAAAATATGTATTTCTCTTGTATAATAAGTTAGAGGAAAAGATTCCTTTGATTTGAGAAAACTAAGAGAGATCAAAAGAAAGACTTACCATAAGTTAAGTGGTGTTTGTCTTTCAGTAGTGTGTTTAGGTCGTTTTTCTGTCTTGGGCTAATGTAGACAGTCTGACATTGAGAAAAATTAAGTGTAAAATCATTTACAACAGGTCATTGTTCAATATGAGCTAATAACTTATCCATCTCAACGCACTTATGCAAATAAGAAACTAACATATAGACAACCTTCGGGCGATGCCTGAGTGACTTTGAGAATATCTATATAGTTATCAGGGTTATAAATTAGGATTAGGATTTTCAGTTGGACGTTGGGGTTAGAAATTAGAGTTAATACATCAAGAACTACTGACCAAAACTCATGTGTTTGGCCATGTTCAATCAGTTGTTCGTTGGTTCCTAGTGTTATATTCAGATTAAGATGAGCATCCCTAGCCCGATTTCCTTTTCAGGTGCTTTAAAACGACTATTCTTTCATAGTAGGAATAACTGGGAAGTGACACTTGTCCTCATACATCTTTTAACTGATGCGGCCCTTCAATACAGGTTTAAGTGTATAAATTATTATTTTATCCATTGTTTAAAGAAAGGGGGAGTTTTTTACTATGGTTACAAAATTAACATTCTTTTCACTAACTGCATTCTTCGATATTAAAGTTATTTTCGTTTTCGTTCAGATTTCCAGTACAAAACATCAAATTTACTCGTTAGTAGATGGTATAGAAAAGGTTTGGAAAACTCAGCAACGAGTACAATTCATTATTAAATAGCAGTTACCACCAGTTCACTAAAGGAAATATTTTTTCTCCAACATTATATGGTTGCGTCAACTCAATCACTTGTTTCTTCCGTTGACACTGATTCGTAATACAAGCTTCTATGATATTTCTCAAAACACATCAAGTCGTGGTTACTTACTTACTTACTTACGCCTGTTACTCCCAATGGAGCATAGGCCGCTGACCAGCATTCTCCAACCCACTCTGTCCTGGGCCTTCTTTTCTAGTTCCATCCAATTCTTGTTCATTTTTCTCATGTCTATCTCCAATTCTCGGCGTAATGTGTTCTTTGGTCTTCCTCTTCTCCTTTGGCCTTGAGGATTCCATGTGAGGGCTTGTCTTGTGACGCAGTTGGGTGCTTTCCTCAATGTGTGTCCTATCCACTTCCAGCGCTTCTTCCTGATTTCTTCCTCCACTGGGATCTGGTTTGTTCTCTCCCACAGTACGTTGTTGCTAATAGTGTCCGGCCAATGGATCTGAAGTATTTTGCGTAAACAACTGTTAATAAACACCTGTATTTTCTGGATGATGGCTTTTGTAGTTCTCCAGGTTTCTGCCCCATACAGTAGAACTGTCTTGACATTTGTATTGAAAATCCTGACCTTGATGTTGGTTGACAGTTGCTTTGAGTTCCAGACATCAAGTCGTGGTTATTGCAAATAAGCTCACTATTCACTTTTCTTTACTTTACTCTCCTTTTTTTGCAGATCAAAATTCATAACCCAACTCAAGGTCGTATTCGTCGACCAACAGTGAATTGTTTTATCAATGCATATCATACAAAAAAATTCAATTCCTCTTCATCCCAATCCTATTCAGATAGTCATTCATTAAAATCACGGAATGATGATCATGCTAAGAGTGCAAAAGTAGATTATTCATTTTGCACAAGTGAAATAGGTGATGTGGATGCTTGTCTATGCATAGAGTCAAATAATAATTTAACAACGATTCATAATAATACTTATAAAGGAGATATACCATTAGAATTTGTTTCTAATAAATCTTTTCAGAATAACACTATTACTTCATCAGTAACAAATTTAACTAATAAAATATTAGAATCAAGATTACGTGAAATAGTTAATCGTGATCCATTATATGAATTATGTGAACAAGAAAAAGATTATTTATGGCGTGGTCGTTATTGGTGTTTAAATAATTTACCTTCAGCATTACCATGGATATGTCAAGTTGTTAATTGGTGTGGTCGTGATACATTAGCAGAATTCTACACTCTTATACATCAGTGGCCACAACCATTTAGTGTTGACATAGCTTTACGTTTACTTGGTGCATTCGATTTAACACGAAGTAATTCAAATCTTATTGATTTACCCAATGGAATAAAAGTTGGAGCAAGTGGAATAGCTGATTTATATATACGCGAATTAGCTGTAAATAGTTTGTATAATCTTAGTGATGCTGAATTGAGTGATTATCTGTTACAACTGGTCCAGGTAAGATACAGATTATCTGTTTGTTTTATGATCATTGTTGCTATGTTCTTTTACTGTTTAGAATTCTATGGATGTCATACTTCACTCGACGTTTCTCAAATCAGATCGAGAACTGAAATCGAATATTTCATATTTTCAACAACCCAAACAACAAAGATCCATTAGTAAAACCACTAGAGTTTACATGAGGATCTTCTGGCATCTATACTAGTTCACTAGCGTCATTTGATTGAAAATAGATTAATCACCGTATGGCCTTTTGAGCCAGATCAGAGCATTCAATAGTCAGGTCCCTATGCTGTTACTAACTACAAGGTTGCTCACAATGTTTAACATAACGAAAGCTAAATTCATTCCTGGTAAAGTATCAATCAACAATCAGTAAATTATATTTCATTCCTTGACAGCATTGTTTTTGAATGAAATTCATCAATCTCCAGAACTTCATACTGATAATTATCATGTGCTCACTAGTGGCTAACTTCAAGAGGAAATTTGCGGAGTTCTGGTGAGAAGCTATGATCAGTGGAGTTAATTCGTATCGGGTGTGAGGCAGTTACCTACCATAGGCAACGAAAGATGGTCGCGAAATGTCGTGGATTGACTGAGGTTAGGCGTTAACACTGTTGAGTGCCGGCTCAGTGGTCTAGAGGTGGTTAAGTGTTCGCGCAAGAGACTGGAGATCCTGGGTTTGAGTACCACATGCGGGATCATGGATGGGGACTGGTATGGAGTGTCATACTAGGACGAAACGACCATCCAGTATTTCCAGGTTTGCAATGGTAATCTAAGTTGGATCGGTTCATTATTTCAATGAAACTCAGTGATCTCCACAATCTTATACCAAAAATAACAAAAAGTGTTTCGTGACTGTACATTGTGAACAAACTTGTTTTTAAAAATTCTAATGGTAAAAGTTTGATTCCTCTGTACGAAACTGAGTCATATAAATTCTTAACTACGTCATTGATCCTAAAGTGCTTGGAAACATTCACATTTTTACAACATTTTTTTTGGTTTCAGACGTAGGACGTCCAAAAATTCTCAATCATATATACCATTTTTTAATAATCTAACTATAGTTCACTTTTGATGTGGAGCCTGTATATTGCATCATAAAACTATGTGGATTTTTAAGCTCTTCTATGTATTAGGAATTTTCTCCAAAAACAGTAGAAAACTCAACCGTTGATTTGTTATATCCTGGAATTCGTATTTTATTTTTCGGTTTACAATTTTCATAAAATCCCTCGACTGTTCTGTAGATTCAAAATCCGGAATCAGTAGTGTCAGTATTCCACTAACCTTACAGTTTGAAGATCTACTACTTTAGTATATTTACATCAACAGTCGGTTATACACTATCAAGCTAAAAATTCAAGTTAAGCAATTGACTATTGCATCCCCGATGATATTTTGGTGTTAGTTTGAGACTTGCACTTACAAGCCAAGTGTATAGAATCAGAAGATCGTCCAAATAATCAGTATCCAGTTAGTTTTTCCGTAATAATTAACTTAGAATCTGGCACATATACTCATAGGCTCAAGTTGTCACACAACTAGTTTATGAGAGTCGTATTGTACAAACTTTTATTAATCCCAATGTCAATAGGAATGATCCCATTCAATGAGAAAAATGTATAACTTAGTAGTCTACCAGCTTGTGTTTGTGTCGATGTTTAAGGGCAGTTAGCAACACTTTCTTAGTTTGCGTATATCTTGTCTACACTCATCTTATAATATTTAAATTTTTGCTGACTCAGGATATCTAACAAAATAGTGGTAGTTTAATAATTCAGCTTTTTGAAATGAAGGATAACGTTGTAATGTTTGTCAATTGTTACAAATGGTGGTTGTGATATTTATTTGTTGCTATTGTATCTGAAACCTATTATTAGTATTATGAAGGGGAAATATAGCTTGATATTTTTCATATAACTAAAAATGGTATACATTTTCAGTGCTCATCGAAAATACGGAAAGAAATACATGCTGGAAATCAGAAAGCACTGCAATTTTTAGATCATAGTTGAATTTATACTTCTTCATGATGTGAGCTTATTTGGAAATAAACTAAAAGTTCTTCAGTGCAGGATAAAACACGTTGTTGCCTAACCATTATTTAATATTCCAATCTTAGTTTATATTGCTTTTTACAATTTTAGTAAATACTTATTTTGTGTGAGGCATATATATATCCTTTTATTTATTATTTAGGCTCTTAAAGCTGAAACCTATTTGGACAATGCATTAACTCGTTTTATTTTATATCGTGCTTTAAAAAATCCTCTGCAAATTGGTTTACGATTGTTTTGGCATTTACGTTCTGAACTTCATTTGCCAGATATACGCCTTCGATTCAGTCTAATATTAGAAGCATTTTGTCGAGGTTGTGGACCAATGTTAGTATTACTTTCTCGTCAGGTAACCGCTCTCAATCGTTTAGAAGCGTTAAGTACACGTCTAAAAGAATTAACTAGCGAGGATGAACAACGTGAACTATTCCGTGAAGAGATGTCTCGAACAGAAACCCAACATGATCTTCAATGGTTACCATCTCCGTTATGTTTAAGTGAAATCTTAGGTGAATTATTAATTCATAAATGTGATGTTAAGCGATCTAAAAAAAGACCCTTATGGCTTGTATGGACAAATCCTGATAGACTGGCACAATTTCATCATCAAAACTATCAACTGATTTTTAAACATGGTGATGATCTCCGTCAAGATATGCTGACACTTCAGTTACTCAAGGTATGTTTCCCTTCATTTTACGTGTACATAGTTTATCGTACCTACTTTTTGTAGTAAGTGGTTTTCCCGTATGTTGCGTTCAGTTCATACCTTGGTTCACCATTTTCGTAACCCTTTTTTAATCCCAGTTAACATATATATCCAACACTTGCATTTCAGATTTATCCATTGTCTGAATCCTGAAAGCCTAAGTACAAAGTGTATGGAAGATACCTTTATTTCGAGCATCCATAAATGAGCGTGTAGTGTGTGAATATTGGAACTGACTTTTAACCAGTCTTATTGAATTAAGAGTGACTCAGTTTTTTAATCACCCTGAAATTTCTCATAAACGGGGGGCATGGAATCAAAACCGCCGTTCAATAATTGTCAACCGTTCCTTCTTAGAAAGAAACAAATAATATTTATGATTGGGTGATTTGGCCAACAGTAATTCTTAATACAAAAGAGTTGTTTAGTTTGTAGAGGCTAGTTTCCCCTATATCTGACTCCAATAAATGATATCCCATTAACTGAGTATTTAAGGCAGGCTAAATCTCCTAGTAGAATTATGGATTTACTCGAGACTATTCAGAAGCCTGAACACCAGTTGTAGAGATATTTTATTGTTAAAGATAAATAAGATCCGCAAGCGTACAACGAGCAAGCACGCTGTAAAACCAAGATCGTGTGTTTGTGAGTTGAAAATCCATATATAATTAGAGTCATAATCAAGTGTGGATAAATTATTGATTATCTGTGTGTTACAATCAATGGGAGAATAGGTTAAGGAATTATGTGCAGACACGCGCTCAATCATATACACAGAAATTAACATAGTGAATTAAGTGTCTGAATTACAGTGAGTAGACAAATAATACGAAACGGCCGTCCAGTGCTTCCAGGTTTTCCATGGTGGTCTAGCTTCAATTGACTCATGATCTCAACCAGTGAAATTTCTAAAAATGTCCACAAAACCCATTCTGATAAAAATAATACAATAGTTGAATGGGCTTGCCACATAAGCTCCCATCCAGAACGTTGATGTTTTTATTTACAAAAAAAAATATTTTTACTAACATCTATGTTCGACAAAGAGATAAAAAACGAAATTGTTTTTAAAATAAATGTACAACTCGATATGATGAGTAAGCGTTAAGTTGTAATAACAGCTTGTGTGTTGAAACGTTTTATATCATGTATATATAAATGTATATTTAACATCAAGGGACTGCATAAAGTTAAAATGTAAGGATAATGATGATCCATGGGGCCAATAAAAAATAGTAATGAAAATAAAGAAGGATTTTTGTGTTATGTGAGCAATCTCAGGACTTGGTCTAGATAAATATGATGGTTGCTACATACCTATTTGGCCAGTGTACTCTTCTTCCTGATCTTGTTGTAGTTTCTGCTGCTGCTGAACTTTGATGTGATGTATTGTTTGTTGCAGGTAGTTTGTATGGTGCTTGCTCTGCTGCGGGTTTATACAGTTTTACACTTGTCTGTTTTTCAGTGTTCTCTAAAGACGCTGGTTTTACTCTGTCGATGTTAACAGTATCATGTTTACCTGCTCTTTCCACTGTAACCGTCTTACTGTCCTTTCGGATGATTTTAAAAGGACCATCATAAGGAGTCTGTAACAGATGTCGTACTCTATCATTTCTGACGAATACATGTGAGCATTTGTCCAGTTCATTGGGTACGAACGACCTTACCTTTTGTGTTCGTGGTTCAACGGACTTAATGGATTCCATCCGCTGTTTTAATTGTTGCACGTAGTTGGTTATATCTGCTCAAATAGTCCGGCTGTTGAGAGCTCTATAGTCACTGCAAGGTCTAACTTCGGAAGGGTTTTTCTTGGGTACCATATGGAGCGGTGATGCCCATAGACTATCGGAGGGACGTATGATAACCAACTCTATCATTTTGTTGAATGGGCTTGCTACAAGTTTCCCTTTGCTAAGGGTATCGTTAATAAACGCAAGATTGTAATTACGTTATTTTGCACAAGTAAAAGTTGTTTCTTACTATGGATTGTCCATTCTATGTAGTTGAGCAGTTTATAATTAAGATAAATAAGCTTCTCTATTCATTCAGTTATTGTGTTTGGTAAGTGTGCGGTAGGTTTTTTTCAAGTAATGTCAATAGCAAATGTTTTGTAAGTATGCAGTTTCATCAAATCATTATCTTAACTTTCTGATGTCATTTATAAATGACATCGCATACGTCTGGAATCATTTTTCAAATCATCGGTTTTATTTGTTAAACATATTACAAGGACACTTACAAATTCTATGTACATACTCGTAATATTTGAATAGGTTAATATTAAACCTTAAACAGCTTAACGTTACAAAAATAACTATTTTCGACAGGTAATTGAAATATTGGTCATATTATGCGCAAATTGACAGGCCTACGTCTGACATAATCAATTTTTACGTCGATTATACTGCTAAATATGAATAAGGTCAACTATATCAATTGACATTTAGCAATGTTTAATTTCGATGTAATAAATAAAAGCCTACATGTGTCTAGCTGAACAATGTAAAGAACATTGAAACATTCTTATTAAATTTTGCATGTACTATTGTTAGACGATTCAGTGTGTGAGCGATAATCACATTATCATTATTAATTTCAAATGATTATATAGCTTAATCACTATGGCTTGATTATAATTTAGTGTTATTTCAGTTGACCTTTATCATAGACATAATGTTGTTGTACCAGTGAACTAATCTTAGTATATAATTTCCAATTTATAGTACAGTAAATCAACGTTATTCGTACTAATTTTAGTAAATACTTAAACTATTATCAGAATGGGTTTTGTGGAGATTTTTAGAAATTTCACTTGTTGAAATAATGAGTCAATTAAAGCTAGACCACTATGGAAAACCTGGAAGCACTGGACGGCCGTTATCAGTCGTTACTAGTGGAATTCAACCAGGTCTGTTGTGAGATGGGAACTCACTGAAGACAATGGTGTACGGTGGCGCAACTTCGTGGATTGGTTGAAGTTAAACAGTAACATCGTTGGATGCCGGCTCAGTGGTCTAGTTGGTTAAGCGCCTGGTGTGACTGATAGGTCCTGGGTCTGAGTCCCGCTGGGGGGCGGATCGTGGGTGCGCACTGCTGAGGAGTCCCATATTAGGACGAAACGGCCGTTCAGTGCTTCCAGGTTTTCCATAGTGGTCTAGCTTCAATTGACTCATGATTTCAACTAGTGAAATACTTAAATGTCAAAAAACTTTTTTAACAGTAGTGACTGAATTGTTTTATGTAGGAAATGAGTTCACAGACACTGATAAATAATATAATGATTAGTTCATTTAATTCACAGTTAATATGAAGCCATATGCTAAGATAATATATATTGGTTATCTAAGAATACTAATACAAATGAGCCTTAGCGCAGATAATAAACATTTGGTTATTGTAAGGCTGTAAGTTTTTTTTACGTTTTCGTGCTTAAAGAAAACACTGGCTAGTGAATTTCTAACCGAAGTAATGCGAAATGAATCAAATGAAACTACTTCACTGAAAATTCATACCAGACGCAAAACTATCGTTTAAAAATAACAAAATTTTTTTGATGTAATTTGTCACGAATTAAAAAAATAGAATTTATAATAAATTGTGCGTGGCTCCAAAAAGACCTTCATTCGGTCTCTTAACATTTTCGATTGTCCTGAACAATTCCGTTTTCGCATAGCAAGTGGGACAATGAGATCCTTGAAATTGTGGGTCCCAGGCACAAAACGAATGAAACACTGTATTGCAACGACTAAAATTCCAAGTGATTCTATCACCAGTTTCACTTGGTGGCTAAGCAAGATTGCATATATCACAGTTTGTTTCAAATTCCACATCCGTTAACGTGCGCATCCAAGAATTGTTGTCACACCTCAGGGAATTACACTCATGATTGTTATACACATTCCCTTGAACAACAGTTCAGTAACCTTCAACAAACTTACAATAAATGATGGCTCGACACTGAGTGCTCATAGCAGTCCTTCATGAACAATATAGTAACAGTATTCAAATGATCTCCTTCGTCCAATCGGCTGTGAGGATCCGCTAGTTTTTCTACGGCCATTTCTCAAACAAACATATTTAATGTACGGCTTTTGATCCTTATGGAAATGAGAATCACGCAGTGCATAATGGCAGTACGTCGCCATTTCATAAGTTCTGATGGCGCTCTTTAACGCTTCAAGTGATTGGAACGCCACCAGATGCAATGCACTCAAGAATGCGTTATCTGTGTCTGTGACAACATGAGAAACGATAGAGCTTGCACTTTGTACGTTATTAACGTCCTTAATTTGAAAAGGTGCTCTACAGACAATCCATTAATAATAAATAAATACTTACATTTTATATGAATTTTAAGAACTAAGTAACTAATTATTACCAATTTAGAACTAATAATTTAATTGGACAAAACGGAATGAAGAAGTATAAGGATCGCCGTGCGTCTAATGATATTCCACAAAAAATAGGCTTACGATCATAATTATAAGGAAATGTACTTGCATACAATGTTATGAAATACCTAATCGGACTATAATGGCTTATTTACCGGTCAGAAAAAAATAGGTTGCATAGATATGTGATAAGAATTGTTACATACAATACATGTTTCTTGTAATACATACACAATGTCATAACTTAATCTGAGACACAGAAAATGATTAAAAATATTAGTAACCAGATTCTTTATACAATTAGACCAACCGATTTTAGTTATTCGTGTGAACTTGAGTATGATATCGTTTAGATAAAATTGTCAAACATACTGATAAATTCGTTATAGTTTAAGAGTAATGTCATTACGAACTGAGGTCAACTGAAGAGCTATTGATAATTAGATTGCACAGGGCAGAAGTAATAATGTCATAAAACACCTAAGACTTAACAATTCATGCCATATTTAATTTCGGACGATTACAAGTAATGGTAATGATTATTTTACGAACAGTTTTTCACGTACACCAGTTTAATCTTTTATATTGCTTTTACGCCTTCTTGAATTCTGACTACATCAAATGAGATTCAGTTAATCCTTATGATCAATAAGTTTATTAACCCATCAACCACCAACTAATACGTAAATTAACATTTATTTATTCAGTAAAAAATAGGCATGTAATTGCGGTTTTATATTTATTTTGTAGTTAATGGACCGTATATGGAAAGAAGAAGGTATGGATATGTGCTTAACATCATATGGTTGTTTTGCAACAGGATATGAAATGGGAATTATTGAAGCAGTACGTGATTCACGTACTGTAATGTCTATACAAGGTGAACGTTTACGTTCTGCTTTACAAATTGATTCATCACAGTTATATAAATGGTTAATGCAACATGCTAAACAAAAGGCAAGACAGTTAAATCATTCACCATTAGGTGATAATTCTGCATATGAACGAATGATACGTACATTTACTATGTCATGTGCTGGTTATTGTGTTGCTACATTTATTTTAGGAATTCGTGATAGACATCCAGATAATATAATGGTTGATTCAACTGGGCGATTGTTTCATATTGATTTTGGGCACATTTTAGATAATCGTAAGAAGAAGTTTGGTTTTACTCGTGAACGTGTACCATTTGTTTTGACAAAAGATTTTATTACAGTAATTGCACGTGGTAATTCTGATGCTGGTACAATATCAACCACAACTAATACTCCACCATCAGTCATCCATAATACTATCGGAGGAATATATGGTAATATGTATTTTCAAGAATTCACTGATTTATGTGGTAAAGCTTACCTTCTGTTACGCAAACATTCAAATCTCATATTAACATTATTAGCTATGATGTTACCTTCTGGATTACCCGAACTAACTTCAGTGTGTGATTTGGAACATGTAAGAAAGACTTTAGCTGTCGAAATTGATAATGAACAAGAAGCACTTGCCTATTTTCATCATAAATTTAATGAAGCCTATTCTGGTGCATGGACAACAAAAATTGATTGGTTTTCACATTGGATGAATACATAATTGACTGCACAAAATATTAGTCATACCGTTACATGAATTCATTTAATTTATTTTCTGTGAGCAATATGATTTGATTTATTCATTTACTTATCGCACTGTATCCCTTAAAAATATTTTTGTATATTCTACTGATATTCTGCAATGCTTTGTATCCAAATGAAACAGAGTTTTATTTTAAACCTATGGTTTCTTGAAGTAATGAAACATACTGTTGGGGACGATAGATCCCCAAACTCATATTTTAAATTTTATCTTATCGATCAAATGTTAGATATTTTTATTGGGGTCAATTGATGAACTATCGATTAAATGCGCAAATAGGTCAATTAATGAACTCATTGATTAATGTTTAAAAATTTTCTATCGATTGTAAATAATTGTATAAATACGCTTGACTTGTATGCTTGATCTGATCTGCCTGCCTGACTTGTTATCTGCTGTTGCTTGTAGAATATACTTTCTACGCCTTACCAAGACTTCTTGATCGAGTTAGCTGAGTCGAAGACAACGGACCAGAATAGTCTATCGAGTCGCTGAATCATTGATCCTTCGTTCCGTTTCGAGTAAGACGCATCAGTAATCGCATTCAAGCAATAACGAAACATAACAAATTGGCGACGGTGGTTTTTCGATTATGGACCCTACCAAACTTGAACTGTTACTTGAGCAGCAGCTAAAATTGATGCTAATGTTAATGGAGACCAAGGTTACGCCTCCCTTACAGCCAAGCACGTCTAGTTCAACCACGGCACCATCAGTAGATGGCATCGCAAATAGCATAGCTGAATTTCATTACGATCCTGATTCTAATGTTACTTTTGAAATGTGGTTCAGGCGTTATGAAGATCTATTTAAATTTGATTTCGCCAATCAAGATGATGCTTGGAAAGTGCGGCTGCTACTTCGTAAACTGGGTGCAAATGAGCTGGACAAGTATTGCAATCTGATCTTGCCGTTGAACCCACGTGACCGATCATTTGCAGACACAGTTCAAACATTAATCTAACATTTTGGCGATAACTCGTCACTGTTTAATACTCGTTATCGTTGCTTGAAGCTAACTATGAACGAAGATGATGATTTTCTTACGCATGTGGGCGTCGTCAACCGTGAATGCGAACGCTTCCGGTTAAAGTCCTTGACTGAAGATCAGTTTAAAGCCCTGATCCTTATTTGCAGCCTACAGCACCAAAAGTTCAGTGACTTACGAACAAGGCTACTAAGTCGTTTGAATCAAGAACCGGAACTCACCCTGAGTGATATAGCTAATGAATATCAACGTCTCATTAATCTTCAACGAGACACTTCTATGGTCCAGAGTGGTGGTTTTAGCCGATTTGAAGTACGAGCGGTGCAACAGACACCTCACAAAAACAAACACGTCCACGTTTCATCCAGTCCATCTCACTCCAGCTCTAGACGACAGACTAAAGCAACTCCTCCTGCTCCTTGCTGGCAATGTGGTGCATGGCACTACGTTCGAAACTGCCCATTTAAACAACATCGATGCAAGAAGTGTAAGGTTATCGGTCATAAGGATGGGTTTTGTCTGTGGAAGAAGACTCCAAGTCAATCAAGAAATACCAACAAGACCTGTCCTAGATCCCGCACCAGTTCATTGAGCCTAGTATCTTCGTGTCAAAGCTCATCACCAAGTCAGAGAAAATTTATTACTGTTAACATTAATGGGCATTCATCTAAATTGCAAATAGATACAGCATCAGATGTCACTATCCTCTCTCGTAAGACTTGGATCAAAATAGGCAGCCCAAACTTGCAGCATACAACGCAAAAGCCTCGTACTGCCTGTGGTAATTACCTTCACCTGCTAGGAAAAATGGAATGTACAGTTACCTTCCGTGATTTGGCATTTGTTGGGGTATGCTACATAACCCCAGCTGATCTAAATTTGCTCGGGTTAGATTGGTTTGATCACTTAAAATTAGCTGATGTCCCGTTGAATACCATATGCAACCTGGTATCACAACCACAACTGCGACAACAACCACATGACTTCGAATCATATACGAGCACCCTAATGACGCAGTTTTCAACTATTTTCCAACCTGGATTGGGTCGCTGCTCTGTCATGAAAGCAACACTTCGATTGAAAACTGGGGCTAAGCCTGTTTTCCGCCCAAAGAGACCTGTCCCTTATGCAACATTACAAACAGTAGATGAAGAATTGAACCGCCTTCAACAACAAGGAGTTATCACTCCCGTTTCCTACTCTGCATGGGCAGCACCTATCGTGGTTATTAAGAAGGCCAACGGCACGATACGTATATGTGCTGACTTTTCAACAGGTCTCAATGCAGCTCTGGAACAACATCATTATCCCTTGCCTGTTCCCGCAGACCTATTTACCATGCTGAATGGGGGAAGATTTTTCGCTAAGCTGGATCTAGCTGATGCTTATTTGCAAGTGGAAGTAGACGAAGCATCAAGAGAGCTGTTAACTACCAATACTCATCGTGGTTTGTTCCAGTATAACCGTCTACCTTTCGGAGTCAAAACTGCACCATCTATTTTCCAACAATTAATGGATACCATCCTATCAGGTATCTCGGGAGTCGCGGCTTATTTGGATGACATTTTAATTGTAGCAACGACATTAGAACAACTACGAGAACGCACGACATTGGTACTGCAACGCATCAGTGACAACGGGTTCCGGTTACGCCCAGAGAAATGCCAGTTTTATTTGCAGTCGGTAAAATACTTGGGGTTCATTTTCGATGCCGACGGCCGCAGGCCAGATCCTGAGAATATCCGAGCTATCAAACTGATGCCCACTCCCACTAATGTCTTGGCACTACGTTCCTTCCTGGGACTTGTCAGCTATTACTCAGCGTTCGTTCCATCGATGCATGATATTCGCGCTCCACTCAATAGCTTACTGCAGAAGAACAGCTCTTGGAACTGGACAAAACAGTGTGACACTGCCTTTTGTAAACTGAAGTCCATTATTAGTTCTGAATTGCTGTTGACACACTACGATCCAGCCATGCCGATCATCGTAGCTGCAGACGCTTCAGCGTATGGCCTAGGCGCTGTTATCTCCCATCAGTTTCCGGATGCGTCGGAAAAAGCCATCATGCATGCAGCCCGTACACTAACCCCAGCAGAAAAAAAATACAGCCAGATAGAAAAAGAAGCGCTTGCACTTGTGTTTGCTGTGCGCCGTTTCCACAAGTTCCTGTACGGTCGGAGATTCACGCTTCTCACAGATCAAAAGCCTTTACTCGCAATATTCGGGTCGAAATCTGGCATTCCAGCTCATTCAGCAAATCGCCTTCAGAGATGGGCTTTAGCACTCTTGGGGTATGATTTCGAGATCCAGTACCGACGCACTCAACAATTCGGTCAGGCGGATGCCTTATCACGACTCATTAGTGACCAGTTGGCGGCTGAGGAAAACACGGTAATTGCATCTCTGCTAGCGGAAGACCACGCCGAATGTTATCTGACGACCGCAATACGAACTTTGCCGGTATCTGCAACGGACATACAAAATGCTTCTAAGAGCGACCCCATCATCAAGAGAACTATGAACTATGTCACCAACGGTTGGCCGACTAAGAAGTTTGATGGTGATATAAAACAGCTGTATCAGCGGCGGGATTCTCTATGCATTGTGAACGACTGCTTGATGTTCGGAGAGAGAGTGGTTGTGCCAGAATCCCTTCGTGCAAAAGTGCTGAAACAGTTCCACCTTGGTCATCCGGGGGTTAGACGAATGAAATCCATAGCCAGGAGTCATGCGTATTGGCCGCTAATGGATCAACATATAACAGAATTGGTTGGGAAATGTATGCGGTGTCAGCAAGCGGCAAAAATGAACGCCAAAGTTCCACCAGTTTCATGGCCACAACCTGATCATCCTTGGTCCAGAATACACGTCGACTTTGCCGGCCCGATTAACGGAACCATGTATCTAGTTGTAGTCGACGCCCTTTCGAAATGGCCTGAAATCAACCCTATCATACCGCCAACGACAACTAAAACAATACAGATCCTCACAGAAATTTTCTCCCGAAATGGTATACCAGATGCCATTGTATCTGACAACGGTTCACAGTTCACCTCCAGCCAATTCCAGTCATTCTGTCAACGACTAGCCATAAAGCACTTACGCTCGCCACCATACCACCCGCAGTCGAATGGGCAAGCAGAAAGGTTTGTGGATACGTTTAAAAGAGCCTTGGCTAAAACAAAAGGGGAGGGGACGCCAGCAGACGCGTTGCAAAATTTCTTATACGTGTATCGAACAACACCAAATGAAACGTTGCCGGAGCGAAAGTCCCCAGCAGAGATCCTAATGGGAAGAAGACTGAAGACGATCCACAGCCTGATGCATCCAAGTAATGCAACTACACCAGTACGGACAAAGTTTGAAAAGCAATCCACGTACGAAGTGGGATGTCCGGTGTTTGCCCGTGATTACAGACCGACCCATAGTCCATGGACAGAAGCGCGAGTGGTCAGAAGAGTTGGCCGAGTCATGTACGAAGTTGAGGTAGGTAGTGACAGGTGGCAACGCCATCGGAATCAGTTACGCAAACGGTTAGCCCCAGACCGCCCATCAACAGAATCAAATATTCCTCTTGACATCCTGCTAGACACATTCAACTTACCGGCAACCCCACCAAAAGAAAAACCTCAACAACAAGCTGAAACACGTCACAGACGGTGGCCTATCCGAGAACGGCGAGCAACAGTCAGGATGCAGGTTGACCCCAGGAAAGCCCGCTATTAAAAAGGGGAGGAGTGTTGGGGACGATAGATCCCCAAACTCATATTTTAAATTTTATCTTATCGATCAAATGTTAGATATTTTTATTGGGGTCAATTGATGAACTATCGATTAAATGCGCAAATAGGTCAATTAATGAACTCATTGATCAATGTTTAAAAATTTTCTATCGATTGTAAATAATTGTATAAATACGCTTGACTTGTATGCTTGATCTGATCTGCCTGCCTGACTTGTTATCTGCTGTTGCTTGTAGAATATACTTTCTACGCCTTACCAAGACTTCTTGATCGAGTTAGCTGAGTCGAAGACAACGGACCAGAATAGTCTATCGAGTCGCTGAATCATTGATCCTTCGTTCCGTTTCGAGTAAGACGCATCAGTAATCGCATTCAAGCAATAACGAAACATAGCACATACAATGCAATTGGACGTATTATTTTGTTAATAAAATTCGACCTTATTTGAAGTTGGGTTAATGAATCCCATCTATTAAATTTAATTTGTTTGTCATTATTGCATTATATATCAGCATCCTAATTTCCAATATACTAGGAGGCTTAGAGATATCTAAACTTTGGATTATTAATTAATAACGTCTCGTGAATTTTAATATGATATCCTTCCTAACCAATTTAAAATTACGCAGTCTAAATACTAGTCCGAGTCTAGAACCGGAGCTTTAGCTACTTAACTCAGTCTAGCAACTAGCTCCAAGCTGTTCATCCGCATTTTATTTCAAAAGTAATGATCTCTAGACTGTTGACTTTCTAAAGTACGAACTAACTATAACATGGTTCATTATTATACTCCTAGTTCATACATCAACATCTAACCAATACTCACTATGAGCAGATTTTCGTTCAAAATTTGCAAGGTTCTGTGACTGGTTGACTAAAAAGCTATTGTATATGTTTTATTTATTTCAAACTAACATCAATGACTTCAATCCTCGCTTAGATATCTGGATACAACGTCCTTTTCTCTACTGATCTCAGTCACTTTAGGAGACAAATCGTGCATAGAAGATTCGTTAGGAAAGATCAAAGAAAATCAATTTAAGCGTCTAACACGTGCAGTTAAATGCATATACAATGACCTTGGAAAAGAAAGCGAAAATCTATTAAACTGAAAGAGCTACGGAATAACAAGAAAATAGCGTCTTCAAATTCAATTAAAATAAACGATGAAAGAAATAAAATTCATCAGCAATTGTTGGACATATGGCAACTATCGATTTAAGGTGATTTTCATCTAGTCACATTTCTACGTTTTTCGTTTTATTAATTTGTTCCTACTAAATTCATTGGCTTTGAGTGTGTTTTCACTTGTACCGATTATTCAATACTCAGTTACTTACTTTTTCCCTCATATTGATTAATTCCGTGTGATTTTGTGTCGAGTGATAAATGCTCAGTTTCATAAAACAAGTAATCAATCATCATTGAATAGTCGATTTATAGTTGAATAAAATGGAGTGCAAATTATTTCTTCTAGGGTCTTTATTAAAATGTCTTCCTTCAAAAACTTATATTCTCTCTTTTTCAACCGCAAGAAGGATTGTTGATGAATTTTTATGTGTATTAATAATCCGGTCTATCCAGATCTCATTTCGTAATAGGATCTCTCAATCGTACATAATCAAAAAATACTGAACTCAAACTCAATTCACAACAGCAAATGGATTATTTTATTCGGGTTCCTATGAATGCTTAACTCCTAAATTCGAAGTGTGAGTCAGTGTTGTTTTAATTATAAACTGGAGATTTATGATTTCGATTACGAGGTGATTCATCGATGCGTAGTCAAGTTTCAAAAGTGTTCAGTTTTTAGTAGCTTTTCAACTTTTTGTGGCATTCCTGTTGGAACGGAAACTTAGGTTTATGTGTGTACTAAAAAATATTAACCAACAAACCAGTTAAATATGTTATTTTTTCCCTGATTAATTGTTAATTTTAGTACGAAAATTTAATTACGTTAGTCAGTGACATCAGACTAACCATTTATACACCCAAAGCAAGGACCTAAGAAAAAGATGATTTATGTATCACTATCATTCATTTCAGATATAGATTTGATGATCTATAGATTGCATACCAGTACGACCAGTTAAATACTAAATTGCACAGACATTTTTCAAATTAGTTACATTTGAAAAAATATATGAACTCCTTCGTGTTATAACAGGAGAATGGATTTTTTTCTGGGTACTCAAATAGCGTCAGGCTTTAATAGTCAGTAGTTACATTAATAAAAAATATGCTAAGTCGTAAACTGATTTCAATTCGAGTTAATCGAACCGTCAAATACAAATCTGAATAGCAGTTCATTAATTGTGTGACTCCCTACTCTGAAACAGTAAATTAATTGAGTTTTAAGTTAGGTGAGTTTTAACTTGACTAAATAGCCTGATTGTGCTTAACACATACTCAACCAATCGAAACGATAAATAAAGCCACAACTGATATTTTGAAAAAATGAATGAAATTGTTTAACGGCAATGTGTATAGGAAAGAATGCACAAAAGAGAATAAAAATAACTTTAATCTAAAAAGGATCGATAAGGAAATATATGTATATATATAATGTAATACAAAAATAGCATATTTCTGCAACATTAATTATTGGTGCACACGTTGGTCAAGTTAAGTAGTTTATTATTTATATTAAATGGATCTTTGTGTTAAGCAGATGTTATTTAGTGTTATTCTTTAAATTAATAAAGGATAAGATGTTATCACTTCGATTTTAACATTCGATGCACTTATTAGGGTTAAATACAAAAAATAGAAGCAACTGATTTGGCTTTAGGCAATTTTGCCACAATGTTAATTTTGGTGATGTGGGAGGTGAGAGGAATGGATTAAACGCTTTAGAACTCGATTCGTCACGGAAACGATATTTTCATGATTTTGTTTCTTTCCTTGTGAATTTGTTGGAGAGCTTGTTAATGCATGAACCGTCTGAAAGAAAAGAAATCATATTGTTATGTATGTATCAGACTACCTGGTTGGGAAAGGGTTCGTATGATAATTGAGATCAATGACTGGAGACTGGATGATATGCCTTAGATGAACCTTACTTTCGTTAATCATATCTAGCTGTGGCCATTGAGAATAGTCAAACAATGAAAATATGGAATTCACAACCAGTCAATCAATTGTCATAGTACCAAATCTAAAACGAGACTGGTAGATGAGAGACTTTTCTCGTTTGTTCAGAATATATTTCTGTTATAGGAGAAATATAACATCCCATGATTATTATCATAGCCAATGATGCATTGTTATTTCAAGCTGTTTTGATATTCAGCCTATTTGTATGATAACTTTCAACGTAATGGATAAACTGTTTAACACTGATGGTTGAATTTAGAGACTCAACAGAAAGATTAGTGAGTACATGCACATTATAACTTACGATACACAAAGTTTGTGATAATAAGAAATACATACACTTATTTTCAGCAAACAGATGACACAGAGGAACAATAGGAACCAGTGTTGTGAAGAATTTTGTAAGTGTGTTGGTAACTGAATTGGGAGGCATATTTAGATCCAAGATAATAGCTTTTAAGGATTATAATTTTACAAATTACTTGGTATAATTTATAAATGTTTTTCATAAAATTAGGTCATGATGTGCGAAATTTGTTTTTTACCGATCCCCAAAACTTATTCCCACTGAGCTGTTGACGTTTTGCTACGCCTATTATTTCTAATCAGTCGGAGACTAGACCCCAAGTGCCCTGGTACGGCCGAGAGTGGGGAGAGTCCGCTCTTCCTCTCGAAATGCTCTCACATAGCCACGTGCATACAACCACTGCCAGGGAAGTCCCACTCACTGCCTTCTCGAGGTGGGGGTGTTGTTTACGAAATTGAGAGGACGAAAAGCGAATGTCCGGCGCTTTAACCGGGTTGGTGGACATGAAGAGTCCATCTAGGGGAATTAAAACCCTGATTCCAAACCAGTGGTGGACATGGACTCCAGTATCCTGAAGGAACAAATGGCGTATGAACCAATTATTGGTCACCGTCTACCATGGGACTGCACCTCCTGATGTTGCTCCACTGCCTTGTAGATCAGACCTTTAGGTCAAAGGCTCCGGGTGGGGGCCCCTAAGAAAACCATCAGTTTTGGTTTGGGCACCAGGGCAGTATCACAGTCCTCACATAAATCAAATGAGATTTGTGTGGCGCATATGTGTCTGTTGCCCCCTTGTACCAATATCTATGTGTTTAAATTAAATTACATACTACAACACCTGCAACAATAGATATTTTAATCAAGAAAATATTGGCATAGAATATCCCATAAAGATACCTTATGACGAAATTTCGTCCCTCAACAAATGGAAATTACAGACTTACGTCATCTTTTTTTCTGGCGAAATAACCTGGGAGGCTGCATGGAATTGTAAAATGCCTGCGTAGCACTGTGAATCTGTTACCAGTTTTTACATTATCACAGTTCTGATTATGAAGGGCACATTCTGACCATGGTATATGACAACCAGCATTACGTACTAATCCAGTACTGATGCGCAATTCTTGTTCTAATTCAGAAAGTGCTTTGGTCTGTCTCATATCAATAGTTACATAATTTACTCCTTGTGAGGAACAGTCATGACAGTTATTGCCAACTAGGTTACAGCTACACTCCAGGAACTCAGTTTCAGAACAATTTGGGCCAGAAGATAATGCACACTGTAAAGATTGAGATGAGTGAAGACTGGGTTTATTCTTACAAATATTACCATCATTCATTATATCATCCGATATTTTATAATGACACATATTTGTCATTGAACTATTTACTTTGTCAGATAGTGTAAGATGAGCGTAATGTAATTGTGGTGTTTTCGGAATAGATGAAGTACCATTGGAAGTAGCGTTATTCGTAGATGTTGTTAGCCTTGGTGGAGTCGGTGGTCTGTCCAGAAAAGAACCTGAAAGAATAGGTAGTGAGGCTGGGACACGTGGCGCCAAAGAGGAATCAGAACTAGATAACAAATAAAAATCAAAATATAATGATTAGCTTATGTAATTTAAAGAATGAATTCATTAAAAATTATTCATATATTGATACAATTTTCTGAAATACTAATAGAATAATTAAGGCTTGGAACAGGAATATTTGGTAGAAAGTGCAATGAAGCAAAAGTAAATAATTTGAGTTTTTTCTCTAAAGCCGCTCATTTGTGAAGATAATCAAAAGTTTTGACTTGAACTGTACATTTGGACTAACAGCATTATAAAATTATGTTTGTTTAATATAGACACTAATCAGTTATATTGAAATTAACAGGGATTCGCATCCGCGTTAATAATCAACAAATATTCGACAATATCTATTTCTTTAAAAGTTAAACCCTTATAAATTTATCATTAGAAAACTCATCATCTATTTTTTTAATTTTCAACTAAACAGAATAATAAGTTGTTGCTGTTATTATTCGTTAAAACTTAATCACTAAGATAAAACAAAGACTTACATTGATAATTGTACAGATGTTGGGTCTGCAAAACATCTACGTTCTGAATTATTTGGTGAAAAATTGATATAATACACTGTTGCATTTGAGTGATTTAAAACCGTGAATCCACTTTTCTGTAAACCTAATAAATTCACATAATGTTTAGGATTTTTGAAGACGATATCTGTATCTACTGGTAACTTGAAGGTATTACTATTATTGTTGGTTATTCGATCAACGTCTTGTTGTTTATTCCCAACGTTATAACTGTGAATAGATTGCGTTGAAGTAGATGAAGTTAAGATCGATGAATTTTTTTCAGATAACGGTTTTAACCCAACATGAAGGTTATTCGGGAACATATTAATATACGGTCTAATGTGAAATTTAAAATTAGTTTGATATAGGGTTAGAAAATGTTTCTATACTAAGCAATATGATAATTAAACAATATAATTCAAGTTCATTTTGACAAGGTGCGTTAATAACATTAACGCAAATAATCAATTATAAAATTCCTATATCTGAATTTCTCCAGAAGTTATTTCGGAAATAAAACAGACAGCTCAACTATCACAATGTATGATTACTGTTGGGACGTCTTAATGTGTTAATATTTGACATTTTTATAGTGATATAACAGTTTAGTTACCTAATAGCTTTCTCGTAATTATCTAGTGAAGGATTTACTATTTGGTATATAGTTTAGATAACCTCTGGCCGATTGAACACCAGTTAAATAGCTTCACTGAGTGAAATTTGTTATAAATTCGAAATTAAATATTTCGAAAAAGTATTGTATTAAATATAAACAAATAGTTATGCTTTTATTATGCTGATGGGTGCACCTATGATATTCAAATGTTGATAGGAAACTAGACTTATACGTATATTTAATGTCGACATCGCGATTAGTCTAGTGTTGACCATCAAGGAAGAAAACCTAAATGTGACATTTTAACTCATGAATTTTTGTACGGGATTAACGCCGAAACTTCTGCTAAACCTTTAAACTTTTGTAATTTGTCATTTTCAACATTGGCAGAACAAAGTGATTACTTATCTGAACTCTTATTTTTAAAGTAACCTAAAAACAAGAGAAACAATTGATATAGGTAAATGGAATGTCTGGACAATGTGGGAGATTTGCAAGATTAATCAAATAGGTACGGGAATGAGGACATACAACTTGAAGGTGCTCAGAAATAGTGAAACCCATTGAACCCAAACTGGATAGCATAAGTTAGGTACGGGAGAGATGCTGCTATACTCCGGTCACGTAGAGGAAAATTCTCCGTACACTCAAGGAGTTGCTCTGATGCTGTCCAAAGAAGCACGAAAACCACTTATAGGGTGGGAATCTTATGGATCCAGGATTACCAAACCATCATTTAAAACGAAGAACGATGGGATGACAGTGAATGTTATCCAGTGTTATGTACCCACCAATGATAGCAATGACGACGATAAAGATCGGTTTTATGAGAGGTTACAATCGATCATGGTGAAGTGCTCAAGAAAGAACCTGATTATCTTGGTAGGAGATCTAAACGCCAAAGTCGGAATGGACAACACCGGATATGAAGATATCATGGGACGACATAGACTGACTGGGAAAAAGGGACGAGAATGGTGAGAGATTTTCAAATCTATGTGCATTCAACAAAATAGTTATAGGTGGTACAATATTCCCACACAAACGTATACACAAAGATACATAGGTCTCATCGAATCACACTACAGAGAATCAGATCGACCATATTTGCATCAGTAAAAAATTCAGAAGATCAATAGAATATGTGACAACCAGGAGAGGAGCTAACATAGCTTTGGGTTACCACCTGATGGTTGCCAAGATGAAACTGAAGCTAAAGCAGCATTGAACAAGTGGAGAAACGGCATTACAAAGGTTCAATACAACCTTCTTTCGATGATGACAAACTCAACGAATTCAAGATAGCTCTCTCAAAACAGGTTTCAAGCCTTACAGGATTTACTGGAAGAAGAAGAAACTACTATGGGGGACAATTGGAAAGGGATCAAAGAAACACTAACTTCAACGTGTCAGGAGGTGCTGAGCCACAACAAACACCATCATAAAGAATGGATTTCTATCGATAGTCTGGACAAGAATCAAGAAAAGGATAAGAAGAAAGCAATTGACGACAGCCGAACAATACCAGAGAAAGCCAAGGTACAGACCGAATATACAGAATCAGTCAGAAGCGTGAAGAGGGGAATTAGCGCCGATAGGCAGGAATGTATAGAATATCTAGCAATAACAGCGGAAAAGCTGCAAATGAAGGAAATATGAGAAAACTATGTGAAACAACGAAGGAGCCAGCTGGCAAATATAGTAAACCAAAACGAACGGTCGCGAAAAAAAGACAAGCCAATCACCAAGATTCAAGAACATCGGAACAGATGGGTAAAGCACTTTGAAGAACTCTTGAATAAACCAGCTCCACCAAACCCACCGGAAGTCGAAACACCACACGCAGACATTCCGATAGCTTTCACCAAACAAACAATAGAAGGAATCAAGATGACCATCCAACAATTCAAGTGTGGCAATGCATCAAGATCACGACCAGCTGAAGCCCTAAAGTCAAACATAGAAGTAACTGTAAAGATGCTCCACGTTCTATTCAGGAAGATTTAGGAGGAGGAACAAGTGCCGACAGACTGGAAAATAGGATACGTCATCAATATACAAAAGAAAGGAGATCTGAGTAAATGTGAGGACTGCAGAGGCACTACACTATTGTCAGTACCAGGAAAGGTTTTCAAGTGTTGCTGAACTGAATAAAAGATTCAGTAGTCGCTCAACTTTGAGATCAACATTCTAATTCCGTAAGGATCGGTCGTGTACAGACCGAATTGTGACACTAATGATCATTGTTGAACAACCAGTTGAGCGGAACTTGTCAACTATACATCAACTTCCCTAACTATGAGAAAGCATTTGACGGCGTAGATAGAGAACTTCATGGAACATTCTTCAACCCTATAGTGTACATAAGATCTTCAACATCATGCGGATTGCATACGACGAATTACACTGTCAACCATCATCAAAGTCAGAACAGTGCATGTGAATATAGTTCCTCTTATGAAATTGTTGAGCTAAGCTGTATCTTGATCCGTCAAAAAACAACATAACTCCATCAGATATTTCAACAGACCAGAGCCAAAATAACGTGAGGACTTAGACTCTTTTGAAACAAAAAATTTCGTACCACTTTCTTCAGGAGTAAGTCAAAGCAACTAGTCATCGATAAATGGATCACAACTTTAGCTATTTTAGCCACATGCACATCATCCCACGTCAAACACAATAGTTTCATTATTATTATTATTAATGGCTTTATTCAATATTATATTTTGGTACAATATAGAATTCTCAGCACAGGGTATTTCAACAAGTTACTTAAGCAAAAAAACAGTGACAAATACGAAAAAAAGGTTTGAAAAAAAAGAAAAAACCCGAAAAACTGTACAACTTAAAATTAGAGACAAGTTAAGAATGCAAGTTAGTGACTAGGTTAACTCTAACAACCTGTTCGTCACACAGTATATTTGATAGATAAGGTATTATAGAACTTTTATACTTTTGCTTGCGTGCATGGATTTTAATGTAATTACGTTTCGTTCTACCAGAAGACATACAAGGAGAAAGATAAGAGTGAAGGGGATGGTTAGTATCTGATAAAATAACACCTCCCAGGAGTTTGCATGATTTTAGATGTCTATCCACAACCATATTAATTATAACCTCGAAAGATTCACCACACATCTTGCTAACTGCCTTCAGCACTCTCCGCAAATCAGCAAAGTCTTTTCTCAAAAGCCCCGGAAAGAATAATGGGTAATATGGAAGAATTGACAAATTGTAATGGTAAATGACGAGTAATCCCAAGAGAATGCAATCTCTTTATGTAGTAAGTCAAACGGAAAACCTTCTTTGACAACAATAAAACGTGGGAAGACCAAGAGAGATCAAAGGAAAAGGTAACACCAAGATAATTGACCTTCGACACTGTGTTTATCGAAGAGTCTCCAATGGCGCAAGCGTTATGGGATTTCAAAATGGTGTTTAGATTCCGTTCATGTCTCATATTAAAGTTAACAGCTTGACATTTAGACGGATTAAGTATAAGACCATTACCAACAGATCAACAATCAATACGAGACAAAAAATCATTCCTTTCTATGGGATGTAAAGAGGAAGAGATAGGCATACATACAGTGAGATTATCCGCATATTTCACAAAAGTGTTTTCTGTGGAAGATGGCAAATCATGCAGGAAAAAAGAGGTGAAAGAACAGCTCCTTGTGGTACACCTTCATGAGACAGTAGAGACTCTGAACACTTTCCTCCAAATACAGTGTACTGTTCCCTTCCAAAGAAGTAGGAACATAGCCAGTTTGGTTATCCAGCTGTCAGTGTTGACGCTGATTAACTTGTTAAGTAAACATTGTCTTGGTATAGAATCAAAAGCTGAAGTATAGTCCAGAAAAGCACATCGAACATACTTCTTACCCTTTTCTAAGTTGAACACTATTGCGATGCAGAACAGCAACAGCGTCTAAAGTGCTTCTTTTGCGTCTGTAAGCAAACTGATATGGATCAATATGCTCTTTTATTGCAGGCTGAAGTGGAAGTATTAATGATTTTCCCATTGTTTTGAGGAAGGGTGAAGTTATTGCAATAGGTCTAAATTTTAAATTCCTATCACCAGATGCAGTCTTGGGTACAGGAATTATCTTCATCTTTCTCCACATTTTCGGTATGAGATTAGATGAGAAGGATCTGTTAAAGATAGTTATGAACGGATAACACAGGACGTCAGCACACTTTTTAAAAAGGATGTTTGGAATACCATCAGGTCTAAAACATCAAGATGAATTAAGTGACTGGTGACATCTTCGGACATCAGTTTCAGTGAAAGTAGGAACACAGCTATTCTTTAAACCTGTGGTTAAAGGGAGAATTACATCAGATGACTGACGTACAAAAGACTTATTTAAGTCACAAACATTCAGCTGGTTATCGCTCCTAATCTGTCTGTCACCTGTAAGTTCTTTAAAGAGTTTCCACATACTTGGAGAGTTTTTGCAAGACAAGAGTTTTTGAGTAAGCATACAGTTGAGACGTCTAATCTCTAGGTTTATCAGACCATTTAGCTTACGAACTTCATTAGAGTTCTTCTCCTTGTACATTCTTTCTTTCACCCTCCGTAGTCGTTTTAGTTATGAAGATGTAAGTCGATCAAAACTTACAAAAATGGTTTCAGTGGGACAACAAATATCAAAACAGAATTTAAGGTAACAAGTGATAACATCAGTAGTGTTTTCCAGTGAGTCATCTGTAAATAATTCCCAGTTAGTCGTATGAAACATGTTTTTCAGATTTCGGATATTTTCTTCTGAGTAATTCCCATATTTGACTTTCTTGGTTTGATATAAGAGTGTACTCTTCTCATGCTTTCCATATACTTTAGGTAGAACACGAATTATACAGTGATCCAAGCTAGACAATGGAGCACGTTTACGAGTCGCATATATACCCACATAATTAATGAAAACGAAGTCTAAATGAACATCCAAACGGGTAGGAAAATCTACTACATTTTGGTGACCTAGTGACGTAAGGAAGCTACAGTCACATGAATTGAAATCACATACAACTGAAAGTGAATCACTGAAGGCAGTAACAGCGAACTCAGTGAATTCATCAGCGAAAACAGATAGCGTAGATGTTGTGTAGTCTGGAGTCACGTAGGTATTGGTAACATAAACATATTTGTATTTATTCAGATGTTTTGGACGACATCTTTATCAATAAAGTCATTTTAAAACTTAAAACACAAACGAAGATCGACACCAGTTTATGTTTACAAACGTAGCTACACCGCCATCATACCTCTTTTTGTTGTTTGATCGATCCTGACGATGAATTTTGAAATCACGTAGTGATACTAGGCAGTCGTCCTGTAAATCATTTAACCAAGATTCTTGAATTGTGATGACACCACAATTACGATACATATTTTGACTTAGTAGAAACTGCAGATAGTCCACTTTGCTGATTAGTGATCGGCAGTTAGAATTTAGAAGCTCGGGAATCGACATATGATAAATGTTCATTCTCTTTAACACATATTGCCAACCACCACGATGTCTTTTATAGTACTTTTTTGCAACTTGTGCAGCGAAAGGTCGTAGGCTTTTCATAAAAGCGCCTGGATAGGTTATACGATTAATGGACATAATGATAACAAATGAAGAAACGGATAACTTGTTGAAATAATTAGATGGCAGAAAAAGGTAGCCCAGATATTCAAGCAGGCCGCTGATGCCGTGCTTCCAAATCCAAAATGTAATGCATTGAAGATGATTAACACATACAAACTTCTTGTTTACAAGTGCCTAAACTGAGTCAGTCAGTCAGCTACAACGTAGGACCAGGCACATATGTGCATCGGTCCAGGTTGCCATACCGCATCAGCACAACAAGATGAACACCGGATTCATAGCAGTGGTTAGGTCAAAGGCAGTAATATATAAGAGAAAGATTGCATATAGAGATATAGTACAAGAAGAAAGAATTGGTTCGTAGAAAGATATGAAGCGATTTTAATCTCTTAGTTTAAGGGAAGACAGGGAGTGTATACACCGACGCCATTGTGATCGATTCTGAGCCATGTCACCAAGAGTCTTCAACCATTGGTTACGATAGTCACGCGGACCCCAACCAAGTAGTCTGCATCTACCAACATGGCTCAGACTAGAAGTTAGTGACTTCAAGCACTGATGCCACGTTTTGGTTTGGCCGCCCCTAACTTTCTTCCAACCATTTCCAATACCGGATAGCATTGCACGTCGTGGTAATCGGTGTTCAGGCATACGTAACACGTGGCCCAACCATCTCAGTCGATGAAGATTCATAACCTCATCAACTGATTTACCATCATTCCCTAATACCCTGAGTCTAACCTCACTATTACTTACCCGGTGATCCCAGCAGACGCCAGCAATATTTCTAAGGCAGAACAGAGTACAATATTGTATCGAATCTTAACAACCTGCCAAATATCCTATCTATGACACAAAAGATATAGGATCAGTGAACAGTAACTAGATAAATCTTTTATAAACACGATATGTTAGTGGTTGCTGTACAAAATAAAAAAACACTTGGATACAAGGAAGGAATAAGTAACAAGCACACTTAATTTTGCACCTTAATCGGAAGACATTGTTTAGGAAATGCAGAAAATCAGTTTCGTCGATTATCCCATTTGTTTAACAGCTTACTTTGCTTGTACGTAAGAAAACTAATTTTGCGATGAAAGTAGTTGTACAATACAAATTTGTAGGAGAATTGAGTATGGTAGATACTACTTCTTATTGGTAATAACAGAAGAGAGTTCAATTAAGCCGAAGTAAAGACTTTCTACATATTTTGATCATCCAGAATATTGTTCAGTCTTATATGATAAAATATATCCCATGTATTAGTGGTACAGACAGTAGAACTGTTGAGTGCAGATTATATTTTGATATTGAAATTGAGCAACTTGTTGAGAATGAAACCTTTTGGTATGAAAATGAACTGTGAAAAATTGGTGAGATGCAATAGCTATTTAAATCCTATATCTGAATATTTACATTAGAGTTCATTTTTTCCATAGTACGACAATAAATGACTTATAGGATATACAAGTCAAATAAATCGTAGAGGATACAAATATAGTTGTTGGGAAAATCTTTATAGTAACGTCAAATGCCTGAATTACTAATAACGCATTCCTGTTGATTGATAAGCAAATTTTTAATTCAAGAGTTATGTTGAGTATACAGTCATGAACAAACACTACCACTTGTCTTTTCCGTATGGGGTTTTGGAGCTTGTACAATTCTACTGAAATCACGAACCATCACTGAAAACTTGGAAGCACTGGACGACGGTTTTGACCTGGTAAGAGACTTTCCAACAGATCCCATATGCGGAACTCGAACCCAGGACCTTCGGTCTCGTGCGAGAATGCTGAGCCGGCATTCAACAGTGTTAATGTCTAACCTCAGTCAATCCACGGCATTACGTGACCATCTCCCATTGACTTTGATGGGTAGCTGCCTCACAACAGACACGGTTTAGCTCCACTGGTCACGGAACTTACAAACCATTAGCTTTTATATCAAACAGTCCTGACTGTGCACTGCTTCAGTTAATTAGTACATGAATAGGATTCATCGGATCATAAAGTGACACATATACCTTTAATGATTTGAAAAAGCTATTTTGAAGATGTTCATAAAACGTTCTGTTGAAACTGATACAAATAAGAACATATAATTGGCGGCAAGTTTACGTGTGAGACCCCTTATCGTTTTTAATAAACATCACCCGATGTTGCAAATTACAAGATTGCTTTGTACATGAGTCTAACGAAGTAGCTGGTATATCTAAAATAAGGATATCAGTTGTGAGGATCTGTCACGCTATATTTCGTCGATATGTATTAATTTATATGGATGAGATTTTCAAAGAACTTGAAGTATGAAAACCCAGTTTTGAAGGAAAACATCAAGGAAATAAACTTAATTGTACAAAGGAGGGAATCACAAGGAAAGGAATGGATGAATAGAGAATGTTTGATATTCACTCATATACGATAAGAAAGGTATGATGAGGGTGGAATTTAGAGAAAACTCAATATTATACATTACCATTTAAAAGTAGATCAAAATCAAATAAACTCAACAAGAGATCTATCAAATCAACTATAATTACGATACGCATGTATTCATAGACCTTACTTAACAATTTCGGATTAACTTAAGAAAGTACTTGTGACATAAATAGTTCTTACCCTGAATTTGTTAATGACTTATCACTTTGAGACGCCATAACACGATTAGATGTAGTTTGAAACAAAAAATTAGAATCCGACACATTTGTTGTTACAGGACAAAAAGCTGATGTCTTAAATTGGGCAGGATCGTTTGACGACTGCTGTTTATACTGAAAGGCCGCATTCCCATCAAATGCTTCTGTTAAGCATGTTAACGTACTAACTAAAATAAAATGTAAGATATTAAGTTAGTGAAACTGTTGTCTAGTTTACAGTGACAGATTGAAAACTCTTATAAAGAAAATTGTAGAACGTTATCTGATAATGTGCGATAACGAAACCCGTGATTTAATTTACAATGACTAATGATAAATCTCTGAAAAAGAACTCAACAGGAAACACCAGCTCTATATGTTGTGTTTCTGATAACAGTGATAGCTCTTAACAACTCTTCTATACCAGGTTACAAAATTTGCATTCTCTTCTAACCGAGGCTACTCCTAAAAGAATGACGTGAAGACTTATTTGGTAGAGACTAAAGAAGATTACTTCATATTCGAGTTTACTTAGTTATAGATCGATTCCATTAAGTGATTATTAGTTAAAGAATTTATCAAACTGGACAAATATCACTTGAATGAAAAATCACAATCAAAATGCACTGAAAGTCGAATGAATGAAAATCACTTTACATAAACATGTGAATAATAAGATTGATCTCTGACTAATATGTTATATTTGAAGAATTAAAAGCTTCAACAATTTCCATTCATAATAATGGGAAATCCTAATTTTAATAAACCTTATCTAAATCACAAATAACGATTATGGAACTGTTTTGCTACTTTATCACCATTTAGCATAATTTTGGTGTACATTGAGAATCAGGTGCATAGTGAGGGATAGAGACATTAGTAATTGGGTGAGATGATTTAGCTATTAGTACTAATTAGTCAATTGAAAGTGAATAAGTTACGGATAATCAATGGTTTTTGTAAAGTATCATAATGCGCTATAACAGTTACATTGTCAACATACAGAGGTGAAATGTCACCTTTCTATATTTTTGGTAAATGCTACGAGAATTTATTAGAAGACATACCTGTATACTTAATAAATAACTTGAAATAAAGATAATACAGTCAAACACTATACAGACACCTAGGCAGTGCGCATCCACAATTCCCCTTTCGAGATTCGGACCAAGGACCTTCTGTCTCGGTGCGCACTGCTGAGGAGTCCCATACTAGGAAGAGACGGCCGTCCCATTCTTCCAGGTTTTCAATGATAGTCTAACATCGATCGATTCATGATCGCAATCGAAAAACCTTAACGATCTCCACGAACCCCATACTGATAACTATACAGACAAGTGGACTCGCTTAATTCAAGTACGGATATGAAATTATAAACACTATAAATGTGTTGTTATACATACAACAAAAAATTATTTTTACAAATTAGTATACACATTTGCAATAGTTGAAGGACAAACTACAATGACAAAGGTGACTTAAAACAAATAAGTACAGTAAACTCCTTACCAGATTCACTTGAATGGTTTTCATTATGACATACATTGTCTGACGAATTCATCTGAGAACAGCTACCAAAACCTTTCACATTACTTGAAACAGACGAAAATTGTTGCTGTTGGTCGATACGAAGAGCCTGAATCACCTCTCTGGAAACATAGTGTTTCCCAGTTTTCGGTTTAGCATAAGTAGGTGCGTCCGCCCAAAGTGGTGTAAAAGAAGGTGATAAGGAAACTAGTGGGGATTTGATACTGCCCTGTTTATTTGTGGTTGGAGAACAAGGGGAACTATGTGAATTGCTTGAGTCCTTATGATAAGGTGTTGTGCTTTCACACGTACTGGCAGTATGTTGTCGTGTCCTAGCATACTGGCTTCCTGGGATGATAGTTGGTGACGTCAAAGATGAAATATAAGTGTGTTGTGGGCTATTTCCATTGGACAAACACCGATTCAATTCAGTTTGATGTCTGCGGATAGGGCGAATGTTACATTGCGTAATGTTCGCTTAAAAAACAAAGACAAAAATCTCTCGATGAAACAAATTATGCAAAATTTTGATAGTTTAATCATATTATGTGGTATGGTTATAAAAGTTAGACTGTAAGCAAATCAACAGCTTTGTGAGTGACTTTGAATGTTAAACAAAATTTATAGCACAACTAATATATAAGTATTACACAATGTATAGAATTTCCTTATGAAATACGGGATGATATTTTTCCTATGTAACAGTTCATAACTCTTTCCTACTGTATATTCATGTTGGTTAGGTCTAACTAACCAATACTAAACTCGATAACGAGAAACGTGTGCACTTGGCATTTTTATTTGATGTTTGTTAACCGAATGTTGTGCATACTATCTATTATGAACCGACCATTTTAAACCGATACGAATTCAATTTTTACTATTTCGAGTCCAAGTGCTATCAGATGCTTTCAGTTATGGTCACAATTAACGTTGATCAGAGAATACTGTAAGAATGATTCAAGTAAAAAATTGCGAATTATTTTAAACAGAAAATATGAGAATAAATTTATGGTATAATGAAGGATTGATTGCTTTCGATGTTAACGTGGTGACAAAAAAAAGAAAGGATGAAGTCCAAGTAAAAAAGATTGGTAAGAACCTTGTTAATTAGTTTTATTGCGAAATAATACTAATATGAGGTAGTCACTGACGTCAAAAAGTGTATCTATATGTAAGCTAACACTAAAAATCAAAGAAAAATTAGATTGTCGAACAAATATTTAAAACTTTAATGTCTATGTACGATATATGTAATTACAGAAATAAGTGCTTCATTACATATATATAATTTCATATTGTCTTAATGTTGATGACAAGAAAACAAAAATAATGACATTAAACAATGTGATGACAAATAGTAAATTACCTGACGTATCACCGTTATTTATCAGTGTTCGACTAATAGTAGACCAGCTGCTTGGTAGTCTTTTACGTCGACGAACATCTTGAGAGGGAGAAACTGTACTAGAGCGACCAGGAGAATCCGTTAATGGCTTAAAGACATTCTGTTCGGATACAGAAAAGGGTGTACGAGGGCTGTACTTTAAATTGAGTTCCATTTGTTCTGTATTGAGACCATCAGTAGTAACGTTATTATGGTGTTCATTTTTATCAGCTGAAATAAAATTGCATTGAGTTTTATTGTACGGAATACCTGAATGAATATTGTTGTCTTGTTGTGAACAGTTGTTTGATAAAAAAGTATCGTTGGAAATATTATCTTTAGTAAGCTTTTCTGAACAAATCAGGCAGATATTTTTATTATTACACGTTTTCTTATGAAAACCATTATCACATGAATCATGAGAATCAGAAGAAAGAGACAAAAGTCCACTACAAGTACAAGGTAAATCTTTGAAGCAAAACGAACAGTACGGTTGACAGAGTAGTTCTTTCAACTTCAGCGTGTCCAGAGGTTGTGAAGGTAAAGTCACCAAATAAGGCTCAGATCTAAAATGACAAAGTTTGAGATGTTGAAAATATAATTGTTACATTTTATCAATTATATTTACTTGTATTTAATAATGAGCAAAACCCAAACTAATAAAAAAGGTCAACCACTAAAAATGAGTATTACATATTTTACTATTTTATAACGGTTGTTTCCAAGATAACAAACATTCAATCTTAATAGGAAAATTCTAAATGGGGAGCCTATTGATATCATATAGTTAAGTAAAAAATTTATTTTACTGAAAGATTTGCTACAGATGAAAATATGAAATTTTTGTTTGTTTAGTTAGATTTTTAGTCAAAACGTAGATAAAGTAGGATTCCACAAAATTTATTCCAGTTTAAACTCGCATGTTTTATAACAACACCGCGTAGAAATCAACAAGATAAAAAAAAACTAAGAAGTGAAGGTTAGTAGTATCATCAGTACTAAAAACAAAAAAATACAAATTAAAAGATACAAATACAATAAGAAAATGAAAATTATAGAGCAATATTATAACTAGAAACAATGGATATATTAGAGGAACACATGGAGATTTGCACAATGAGAAAAAGATAAAAACTGATGACAGATGGGGATTTTATTCGTCTTTTAAAAATATGGCAGTCACTTATTGACTAAAAGTATATATATATTGGTATTTGATGACTACTTAATGAATATCATCTGTAAGTGAAATAAGGGAAATATACAAACTGGTTTTAAACAAAATTCATACAAGAGAATGTTATATTGGATAAATATCACAATAAATTAAGAGGAATATTAAACTGAATAAGATCTAGCATTTTATCCAATCCCAACACTTTCCCTGGTTTACCTGGATGTGTATGAGTACGATACTTCAAATGGATTGACTTGGAGGTTAGATGTCCTTCTTGTAATTAATGCGATCTCCCGGGCTAGTTTTGTGGTAGTAATTCAAACTTTTCGAGTTTTTTTGTTCACTGGATCTTTTATTAGTACTTCTCTCAGTAAGGTTTCTCAATCTGCGATTAACTGCGTGTTACGTCCTTGATCTATCTACCCACCAATATACAGAAGATAGCTTGTCTCAATCTAAATTAAGACTTTGATACGATAGGTTGACTGGTTTAGCCTCGAGGCTAGAATCGAGTGAGATCAAAGTGAGACTAATTGCCTTGAGAAGAGAGACAAAAACCATTCTATCACCTGATTGGTTGACAAGCGCGCACGAAAGAAGACGAGGCAAGTGGAACACTACTCGATTTATTACCGATTCCCATTTAGATTATTGCAAAAAGGTACATGAATAAATAGATGACTAACATGGCCATAACGAACAAACAGTTAAGAAAATACAATTATGTCCAGAGCTGGGAGTCTAGAGTAATTTTGGATGAAAAATGGGTATGGCAGTGAATTATACATCAAACGAAAGTTTATGGTCTGTAGAATAAACTAGGGGCGAAAATAAATTTCAGTGTTTTACAGGCTTTGAAAATGAATTCGCCGAAAAGAGAACTCTTCGCTGAACTAATCTTTCTTTCTTATTTAACACGGATTCCCGCAAAAGTCAATGGGAGATAGGCAGTATAAGGCACATTTAATGGAAAATTAGACATTTCGAGTGTCAATTTGGTTGCAAAGTGAAAATGTACTGAGATTTCGGTTAACGGAACATCTGTTAACATTCAGATGGACACTGGTTCAGATATTGCAAGCACTGTTATGTTCAGGCTTTGGACAAAGATAAAAGGTAAATGCAACTTCTCTGACTCAAATAGTTTCGGGTTAATTAGTCATAAGCAACGTAGAACCTGGGACACGTGTGGGTCGATTTAAGTTACCACACTACTTCAGCACAAGATGAAATTATCAAAAAAAAATCCCACAGTAGTAGGAGTAGTGACAATATCAATGATAGCATAAAACATTAGGTATAGATAATATGATTCAGAAAAGAATGGATTCGTGAAACAAAACATAAAAGTATTTTAAAACAGAGATTGAATTCATCTAAGACATTAGGAACGATTCTGAGCCATGTTATTCAGCCTCTAACCACTTATTACAGTAATTACGAGAACCCCAAGTAGGTAGTCTGCACTTGCCTACATGATGCCGCCTAATGTTTTGTTTCACCTAGATTATTCCTTACCTACTCTTACACCAGCAAACATCACCCGCTAATGTAGGCAGTGATTACGCATACGTCATGTATACTCCAATCACCTCAATCGACGAAGATTCCCTATTTCATCAACTGATTTACCATCTTCATCTAGCACAATGCGTCCGACTTTAGTATTATTCACTCGATGGCAAGCAATCGCTCCAAGATCAGGGCACGATAAAGTCTCGTATAGTTGTCTCGGACCACGCTAGGAGGATATTTGCCACTCCATACATGGTTTGACCAAGAGACGACTTTACGTACTTGCTTACTTACTTGCTCCTGTTACCCCACGTAGAAGAGTATAGTCCGCCCAACAGGATTTTCCACCGAACTCTGTCATGAGCAATTCTTTCCAGTTGTTTCCAATTGCTATTCATTCTTTTGATGTGTTTTTAATTCCCAACGCAATGTCTTCCTCGGTTTGCCTTCTTTCCTTTTACCTTCAGGACCCCAAGTGAGGGCTTTTCACGTGATCCAGTTTGATGGTTTTCTCAGTGTATGTCCCACCCATCTCCAAAGTCTTTTCCTAATTTCCTCTTCATTTTGAAGGTGGTTTGTTCTCTCCGAAAGTAGGCTGCCACTGATGATGTTCGACCAACGGACATCGAATATTTTGCGTAGACATATATTTATAAATACTTGTACTTTTCATCAAAAAAGTCTACCCAAGATCCTTAGTGATCGTTAACCAGATACGATCAGCAACAACCTACTGTGGGAGGTATGAGAAAGGGAACTGATGGCTTTGGAAAACTATAGGTTAGGACGATAATATATGTTAAATAAGTTTCGATGCATATTTAGCTCAGGATTCTTTAAATGTAAGGTGAATGCTTCAGCGATGTAAGAAAAAGAAAGCCAGGTTCCACGTTACTTATGACTGACAGAGTGACTGCTTTCAGTAGGTTTTTATTTACCATATAGGTGAGTTTAAACGATATTCTAAAGGTCACCAGTGGCCATCTGATACAAAAACGTGTTATGTATCACACAGCTGTATCGATGAAAATAGTCAGATTTTCTTGTTTAGTTATTTGGACATGTGAGACCGAACCGTAAGAGACAAGAGCAGTTGTATTGATCCAAACCATGTACCCATTAGCTTATCTACATTGTCTATCCAGTACCGACGACCTTCGGCTAACCAATGACACGATAAATGTGAGATAAAAAACGAGAGTAACACAAAATGACTATTGATCCAGAATGCAATTTACCACACTAGCAGATCCGAAAATAGAGAACAACTCAGCAAGTGTCCTGGTACGACCGGGGATGGGAAGAGTCAGCCCTCCCTCTCGAAATGCTCTCACATTACCACGTGCATACAACCACTGCCAGGGAAGTCCCACTCATTGCCTTCTCGCGGTGGGGTGTTGTTTACGAAATCGAGAAGACAAAAAGCGAATGTCCGGCGCTTTAACCGGGCCAGCGAGAATGGAGGATTCACCTAGGGGAGTTGGAAAACCCTGATTCCAAACCAATGGCACACATGGGCTCCACTATCCTGAGGGAACAAGTGGCGTATGAACCTATTGTTGGTCACCGGCTACCATGGGACTACATCTCCTGATGTTGCCCCACTGCCTTATGGATCAGACCTTTAGGTCGAAGGCCCCAGGCGTGGCCCCTTAAGGAAACCACCAGTTTCGGTCTGGGCACCAGGGCAGTATCACAGCCCACACACAAATCAAGTGCCTTGTGTGGCGCATATTTATTCGGTGCCCCTTTGTACCAATATTTCTGTATTTAAATAAATAAATAAATAAATATAAACTCAGTATGTAAGCTTGAATTTATATAAAAACAGCCAAATTCTGACCCTATGTCAACAGAATTAAGGAATTACAAAATGGTTATAACTTTACCATAAGTGGAAGAGGACTGAGTGATAGGTTGGTAATAAATTAACAATAACTTGGGAAAGCTAAGACACAAAACAGTAGGTGAGTCAAGCGAAAGCTTACATGTAGGGGAATACAAATATATCGTAGTTTAAGTACTAAATAATTATACAACAAAAATATAAACAATAATTGTAGGTGGGACTGTTTCGAAACCTCACTACTGTTTAATACTTAACCCGACATAGTAGATATCATTTAAGCTTCGCACAATTACGATAAACCAGTAATAGGATCGAAATGACGGTATGTAATTCAAAAACAGAACTGATACGTAAAAATAGTAAGATGTCCGAGATTCAAAGTGAGACAATGAGTGGGCCTATCTGTTCCGCTGGGATATACCATGAAGGGTTTTATTCATGTCTAATATTGTGAAAACTAGATACAGACAGCTCAGTACACTGTTTGGATCTTCAGTTAATAACCACGTGCATTGACTCAATATCTCATATTACGACTTTGAGACCTATTGAAGTAACTATATTTGAGACTAAAACATTTACACATTTTAAATATTGTTGACTGGAAATTTAGATGCTTTACATATTACTACATGACGTATCTTTTAGAGAGTAATTGTTTGAACTGAAACTAGAAATTTTACTTAGCTTGTGTTTTTATTACGCTAACTCCTGCTTATAGTTGATATGATATAAACTAATATTAGGAAGCTACCGGTTCAAATGTTTCTGTATTTTATTTATTTATTTATTTGGACACATGAATATTGGTACAAGAGAGCGCCAATATATATGCGCCACACAGAATAATGAAAATTCGAAGAGGAATACAAAGAACGATGAACTCTATGTCTAAATGTTTCTGTGACCTAAAGTTTCTTTATGCCTCGATCACAATTAGTCTAGCAAGGAATCAAAGTTGTTTGTGATAATCTAAATAAAAATTACTACATATCACGTAATGGCCGTTACATGAAACTTGTATATATGTGATCTTTTCGGGAATACACTTTGTATCATACTAAGACGTCAGCAGTTAGATGTAGCAACTCTAAACTCACCAAATTAATATCAGGATGAACCAAGTACAAATACAAACAAAGGAGATATTATCGAAATCCCTGAACAAACATGATGCTAGTATATGTTGTTTTTATTACCTCGATCTCCTTTGTAATGCCTGCTGACTTTAAATAGCTACGTTGGTTACACCAACGTTAGGGACAGAGCTTATGTCAATCTTTACTGTGAAAGGATAGTTCTTGAGGAATCTGAAGACATAAATGAATAGGCAAAGTATATACCGACTTAAAGTTGTGGCTATAAAGTGGGGATGGAAATAGACCATTTGAGCACAACTGTTTGTACAATTAGGTAATTCTTTTTAAAAACTAATCAACATGTCATGAATTAATTTTCATATAATATAAACACCTTACTTACCCTCTCCAGTGACAAATATTACATTCCCGTAAACAGTGTGTGTGACCAGAGTATGGATAAGATTTGGGGTTAACATTGACCTATCAATTTTAAAAATATCAGAGGAACAATAAGAAAGGCTGTTACTAACTAACAATTGACGGAATAATATAGAAGTATGGAAATGAATACTACATTTTATGAGCTGGGAAGACAATGAATTTATACGTCAATAATATTTTGACACATTTCACATTTTCTTGTTGCTTTTATTATATGAACATTATCCAATGTTAGCTTTTGTTTGCTCAATAAAGAATAGAAAGAAAATGAATAATCATATCATGAAATTCAGAAAAATGCTTCAAATCTGCCCGAGTAAATACATTGAGGAAATTAATTTTTGAGCTAAAGACTTGCTGTGATTTAAAGCATTTCAACTGTTGCAAAAAGAGAAAATGGTATACTATACTTCAATTTGTTTAAGGAAAGAGGCTTAAGAATATAACAGTTGACCTTTCCTGTAATCTAAAAATCTCCTATGATGCAACAAGTAATCATTAAGTTGCATTATTTATTTATTTAAACAGAAATATTGGTACAAAGGGGCACCGAATAAATATGCGCCACACAAGGCACTTGATTTGTGTGTGGGCTGTGATACTGCCCTGGTGCCCAGACCGAAACTGGTGGTTTCCTTAAGGGGCCACGCCTGGGGCCTTCGACCTAAAGGTCTGATCCATAAGGCAGTGGGGCAACATCAGGAGATGTAGTCCCATGGTAGCCGGTGACCAACAATAGGTTCATACGCCACTTGTTCCCTCAGGATAGTGGAGCCCATGTGTGCCATTGGTTTGGAATCAGGGTTTTCCAACTCCCCTAGGTGAATCCTCCATACCCACTGGCCCGGTTAAAGCGCCGGACATTCGCTTTTTGTCTTCTCGATTTCGTAAACAACACCCCACCGCGAGAAGGCAATGAGTGGGACTTCCCTGGCAGTGGTTGTATGCACGTGGTAATGTGAGAGCATTTCGAGAGGGAGGGCTGACTCTTCCCATCCTCGGCCGTACCAAGGTATTTAGAGGCTTTAATCAAATTAGACCTTCATTACAGTAGGATAAGTTTCAGAACTAAAATAAAGAGACATTCATCTGCAGGTTAGGAGTGATACTTAGTTATCGAGGAAACAAAATTTTTAGCTTCTACACAATCCTCAAAATTACTTGATAAAAAATGGCAAATATGTAAATGTTTATGTAGGTGAAAATATTCAGTAATGTTTCGTAACCTCAGACTTAAATAATAGGTGAAATTGGTACTCCAAGAAACTAAAGCTGAAGTGCTGGTCTACTAAAAGGGTTCAGAGGGATGAAGCTGAAAATCTAAAGACCATATTAAGTACTTTTTACTCTATATTATCCATCAAATTTGTAAAGCATCAGATTATATCAAACAATCATATCGTATATCACATTTTGTTGCTATATATTTGATAGAAAACAGGTGAGACATATTTTCTTCATGAAGTTTCCCAGTGCAATAAACAAACTTGAATCGACTTGAGATCAATTACTGGCTTAAGTGAATGCAAATATTCACACCCAGATACATAAAGATCTCTTTCAATAGTAATAAAAAAGACACGTAAGGAAAATAATTAAATGATGCCCTATCCACATATCTCCTACTAAATGATATTCAGCATCTACAAAACTAAGAAGACAGCTGCACTAACGAAATATAAAAAACACTACAAAAAGCATATCGAAGCTAATGTGATCATTTTATTCCTCTGATAAATGAAAAAAGATAATATTTATATGGCTTATAATGCAGAAACAAGTAGAAATCATTTAACTTCTACTAACTAATAAAGATTTACTTGATATTTACATAGGACTTACATTAATACTATTAAGAGAAGTGCACTGATATGTTGCTACAGGATGGCTAGACAAACGCCGTCTTGGATGCATAGAAACCCTGACATAATTTGGGAAAAAAAAGTAAATTTCAGCACTACTTGAAATAACTGTAAAAGGGAATGTTTGTGATAAAAGTGTGAACTTATCATCACTCTCAAGCAAAAAGTAATTATTTCTTTATTATCCATAGGGCATTTGTCACATAACTTAGTAGATTAGCTATTATTCAGATTCGCAGAATCGTTTATCATGGTAGCTAACATTATTTGCCAGGTACGTTTATAAACTTGCCTCTAGGCAACGCATCACATGCATGAGAGCCAGTGATACGATTTGATCCCACAAACCAAAATGGTTGGTAAGGTACTCTAGCTTGAGAGAATGGTTGAAAGGTGAGTGCTTAAAGACACCGTCTAACCTAGCGACTTCAAATATCAGCACAATAATAAGCATAAATATTTCATATTCCCATCAGACATCGTTGAAGGATAGATAGAAGACTGCTGCTCACGCTGGAGCGTACGCATAGAATTTGATCATGCACTAGTGAAAGCAAGACTTTTCAGGTGTTTTACTGGGCGTACGAATGCTACAGCAAGAAGATCAGCTAGATGTTATTTTGGAGATGAAAAGGTCAAGGATATATTCAGGGAAGTATCAGCTAAATACCTAGTCGATAGTAAAGGAATGGTCCAGCTTGAAGAAGCTGGGAACGATATCCAGGCAGCTGTCAATACAGCAGTGATATTAAACGGCAACTTAGGAAAGACCAGGTGGCATTCACTAAACTGACAGAGGCTCGGAGAGCGATGAAGAGCGACAACTCAGATATAAGTAAACGAAAAGTTTATGCTACGATCGTGAGCAGTGGTAGGCGACGAAAGTAAAGAAGACGGGAAAAGCAGAGTTAATAGTAGACAACTGTTCAGACTTAATATGAAAGTGGGTATTAAAAAGATAGGTGTTAGTGAGACTATCTTGGAAAAGGATGGAACTATTATTTACTATTAATCTAGATTAGATAAAAGGGCAGAACACTAGGAAATAGACCACCTGACCTCCAGCTACTCTTTAGTTACTCTCCAAGGCCAATCAACTTGAATAGCAAATCGACACAAACTCTTCAACTCTTAATGATGTTTGAAGGGATATAGGTCATCTAAAACTAGAGAGATCGACAGGCTCTGAAAGGTTAACTAATGTAGTGTCTGAAATATTAGGTTTTATAAGCCTTCATCCCTTACCTAGGGCCCGTAAAGAGCAAAACCTGGAAAACCAAGCTAGTCTTGGACCTGAATGTGGATATGCAAACCAAATATTCACTTTTCATCAGGTGTTAGAACATAAGCATACTCGCTGGAACTCGACTCTGAAAAGAGTTTCTAGACCTTGAGGTGGCAAGCGACTATGTCGTTAGAGAGGTCATGTGGCAATGTTTATCATTGAAAGACCTACCAAAGAAGCTCAAAGTCCTTGAAAGGGCTGTCTACTCAGAAACTATTGACTGAGTCAGGGTTTATAAAGCCATGTCATCTTTTTGATAGATATTATATTAGCAATAACACCTTTAACAAACTTTTCAGGGACTTATTTCTTATTAGGAGTTACATTTATTAACTTAGAATACGGCTGAGACGTAGGTGCATTTATTGAAGACGCTGACAAAAAAGCCGTCGCTTGATTGCCTGGAGCAACAATGCAAACATGCGTGTGATACGTTTCTCTCTCTGTAAATCTAAAACATTACTTCGGGACCGGTCTGCGTCAACACATGGACAAGCGATATGCAGTGAAGTATTTAACTGCGCTGGCCACTTTACTTTTGTTGAGAGTCTTATCGCCCCTCATTGATTAATGTCTGATGAAATCTCGGCATGAATTTAGAAAGGTAGTGAATCCTCACCGACTGAGTTGTTAAGATATGCATCACGTATACCCATTCACTAATTACCCTGATGAGTGATGTTTGCTAGTGTAGGAGTAGATTAAAAGAGATCTAAGGCGGCCAAATCAAAACATGAAGTCAGTTCATGAATTCACTGACTATTGGTTTGAGAAATGTAAGTTAGGGTCTACGAGATAACCACGATTAGTGGTTGGAGGCTTTGGATGACATGGAGCTAAATCGTTCACAGTGACCCAGATGCATTCATTCCATATCTTACTTTTATATTGAATCCCAAAATCTCTCGTTACATACGCTTCCCGATTAATACTAATACTAAATAACCATTTAAACATGATTGGATAGATGCTTAGTATAAAACTGATTTCAACCTTATTTATTTTTGATAATTTTGACCATCTTCCTATAAAGGCTTCAAGCAGACTACCGGGTGGAACTTTTGAATTACTTAGAATTTTGATTGCTGAGATTATTACAAACATAATTGTACATATGTTTGCGATACATTTGATGCACAATGTTTGTTGAGCTTTTCGTTCAAATGAGTTGAAATGTGGTATCCAAAACACGTACGCAGACATTTGAAAATGGACATATAGTTATTAAAACATTAGACTACTAAAATTTTCAAAGACAGACATAATCTTATGATTGATAATCAAGTGCATTGCAGCACAGCACTTCTGCCTAAACATTAACAATGTGTTATTTTGATGAGGTATGAATATTAGTTCAATTTACTTGCTTTCATCAAGGATTGACTTTAGATGGCGAACTACTGTAAATCAGAGACAATAAAGTGCTTTCGCCACTGTTTGCGACTCCTCGATAGTACATACACATGGACACTGTCGATGAATGAAGCTAAGATACCGTCATACGTATTTTTCGACTGTCTTTTAAACAATAATCTCAATGCTTAATCTGTCCCATTTCCATTGCTACTACATTATTTCGATCTCCTTTGTTATTTAGCTTGTTAATTTCATTTCGTCGAGCTAATATGCTATGGTAAATTAGTCCATGTTTATAACAACTGATGACTCTAATATACGTTCGTACTCTATTTTTCAACTGGTTTTCTTCTGGAATTCTTATATATACAGAAAACTAATATCATGAACTTTAAACGTATTTGCAATAATCAACAACACCCACCATTTTTTTCTATCATTGACTGAATCAACATGACTTTCCTCCTTTACTTTTTTTGAACTTTCATCTGAATTAATCTTCATTTATTCAAAAAAAAAAAATAAAGCATTAGGTTAAGGAATAGTATGAACATATATATCGCTACCAAGCCGACTATCACAATATGACAAAGACTGAAGTGTAATATAATAAGCAAGGTGGAATACTCGTCCAAAAGAAATACATGAGCTTTGGTTTAAAAGTTGTCCCATAGTTTAATAAGACCGATAAAGATAGGGGACTATACGAAGTTTGAGTCTTTAGATAAGGACTTTAACTGCTTAATCAACTCTTGTTTTCAGTTAAATCAGTAAGTACGTTTATTTATGTGCTTGTCATGAGACAATACCAAAGCAGAAGGTAGTCCAGCATTTTCCTACAAAGATCACGCAAACTGTGTAGAGAATGACTAATTCAGCTATTCCATGTAATCGTCCATCTGAATTACAACATCAACTTGATTAGCCTTAACATATGATAAAAATGTCCAGACAAATATTTTTTGGTCAACAAATATATTCAGTCTACGAAATTCGAAACACATGGAAGGTTAATATCTTAATGCTTCATATCAAATCAAACACCGACAAGCAAACGATAATTTATTCGGAGTTATCAGTACGACAGAAGTGAGAAATGCATGTAAACGTACACAACCTTTCCCTCAAGATGTTTAAAATGTTGTGAATTTTGTCAAAGCTTCTGCTACACAAGATTATTCAATCTGAAAACGTTATTTTAACAATCTCTGTATGCTGATAAAAACTTGAACAGGAATGTTTGAGGTGAGTATTCTAGTTAGCAAACACGGTGGCTGTCAATAAACCTTTATGAAACCACATGAATTTAAGTAAGAAGAGAAACTGAAGAGCACTGGATCCGAATGACAACGTATTTAGAAAACTATAATTGAGGTGGGAACACGCCTCACTATTAACAAGCAATAAGCTAATATACTAAGCACTGTTACCGTGATTTGGCTGTTGTTAGCAGAAATGGTCGTAAGAATACTATTCCTACTAACATGACAAAAGTAAATAAGTGGCCAAACATGGTTAAGAAGAGTTTTGAGGTACACAATTATGACGATGTAAAGTGCAATACTACCTGTGCTACAGTATTCCTGGTAGTCAGTTTGTTGGACGAGGGCGGTGAATCTATCATAGGAACTTCATCATTAACACACTTATCCAGATTTTTGGTAGGAGAAATAATCGCAGCATTTTGAGTCGCATTCGAGTAGACACGACTGGTAACAGGGTGGATAGGATCACATAAAGAAATAGTCTGGTCAGAATCGCATTTTTTAGAGCAATCAGAGGGATCGATAAGTGAAGCTAAACAAGTTAGGCGTCTCCAGTCTGCTTGATAAACTGCGGCTTGATTAGTATGTTCAATCATATCACATAAGTCAGTAGCACGGTTGGATAGGAAAAGGTGACTTCCAGGAGCTTCAGGGTGATCAGGGAAGGCAGTGAGAAAAAAGAGTGATGGAGGGTCAGTGAAGCTTCCTCTCACAGCGTTCTGAACACGGGCAGTACCACACTGAACTATTTCATCATTATCAAAAGTCCATGTTGCTAACAGACGAGGATGGGAACAACCTGGACCCGTAGTGAAACATATACGATCACGTGTCACATGTAAATAGCCATCGCTTGAATTACTGCATAATGTAGGATATAATTTTCTTAAAGATGAGAAAATCTGGTTTTTAGGTCCTTGAATGAGTGGAAAACGTCTCCTATGACGTGCATAACTATACAAAATGCTGTTTTTAGGAGCAACAATCAAATCGGCATGAAAATATGAACCTATAAGGAGCACAAAAAACAGTAAATCAACTTAAGAAACTGACATAAAGGAAACGTATTTTAAAAGCAGCTAGTAAGATATTGTCATAAACCGATTCATACACTGATACCCACAATGAATAGATTATTTTTAAACGAAGTGGTTGTCTCATAGAATGCATGTTTGTTGATAAAAGCCGAATTAAACTAATGACAATCAGTGAAGATTTTTGCAGTAGAAGGCCATCTTCATTACTAGGGAAAATTAAATTATTCAGCTCGACACCAAAATGTTGGAAATTATGTCGAAAACTAAAAGCATAGAAGAAAACGTTATACCAAAACTATTCAGTCTTGGTTCCAAGTGATCATCATTCCAACGAAGGCAAAAATAGTGTTTCCCATTCTCATATCCATTAAGCTAAGTAATTATTCAGAATCAATCAATTAAAAATATTTAAGTATTGAGACAGCCTGTTTACATATACTGAATGTTGGTGACAGGCCATTGAATCATTTTGCCAAAAATCAGTACATAAACTAACTAGGCTAATACTAATGACAGCTGTTTCGTTATAGGTTCGTTACCAGTTGACTCTAAAATAATGACTGAGATCGTGCTTCACAGACCAAAAAACTCGTGGAATGATGACTGACGACGAACAGGCTGAGTTCGAACATGTTGTGGACGACCCGTACATATACTTACGGAGTCTATTAAATGATTGAACATTGTAAGAGGCTGACCGCTAAACATTATAGTATCACCCGACATAGTAATTGCATTTGATTTATTGGAAATGACTGTGATATCAGATTTCTGAATAGGCATTTGGGCAGTTTAGTGACACCTTGAAGGTTTATATATTTTCATTACTAGAATACAACAGCAAAGTTGGAAGAAACGATGAGTCTAGCGATCTCCTCCACACTTTTATCGATAAAGTGGGGTATTATGTTAAGCAAAAGTGGGAAGCACATATGCATGCAAACGAAGACAACTAGATCAAATTTGTTCGAAGTACTCTTTTAGTCATATGTTTCGGAAGGTTGTCCATAATTAAACATTTAAAGACAATATTAAACAATTAGCATGAGTACCTATGTCAGAGCAAGCAAGGTTATACTCAATGATCTAAAGTTATGTGCGCAGACGCCAACCGTTAGCGAAAGAAAATTACGGACCATATATGAGAGCTCGAAAACTTGACTTACATTTCAAATTAGCTTTTAATATGTCATCCCATTTAGTCATCTCCTCGAAATGTCGAAATGATATACAACGTAACTTGTAGGTACATACAAACATAATTACTCCGTCATGCTTAGAGTCTACTCCAAGAATGTAAGCATGAACATCTTGGCATCGACATATACTCCCATCGTCGTTAAATACGAATAACTTTAGTGAGTCTAAACTGGGTCAGAATAACACTAATTTACTTATAAATGTTGCAGGTCTCTCAAGCGCGCAAAGCTTTTTCTTCCACTAATAAGTTCTGGTTATATAGTGAAAACAGAGTCTACCTTGCCACTAACTCTAACCGGTACAATGCCTTCGATTAAGCGTCCAATACTGATCATTTTATCAGGTTTGGGGATCAAGGTCATTAGGACGAAAAGCCGCCTGCGACTTTCAATTCTCAATAGTAAAATTAGTTGGTCGGATCTCTTTCATTAACTATTACAGTATATTTTTATAGTTGAGACGTAGTTTTATTTTTTGGTGGTTTATACATGGAACCAATATTACTTGTTCTCATAGGGTGTTCCGATCGTTGGTTGCCGAATGGGAAGGACGAAATATAGGGGTAAACAACATCAAAATATAAACGGTTTATCAAACTTTTGAAACCGAGCTTGGTCTTGCTGGTTTGAATGTGCACTACTGTCAATAAGAACTTAACTAGACGTCGTCGTTGTATCGCAGAAATGCTGTCGTGAGACGAACTCCTACTCTAAATGGTTTGCTAAGCAACTTATCCGTTTATTTCAAACTCTATTCTTATATCTTCTTTTCGTCAGCCTATGATGCTCTACATGTGTGTTTCCTCAGTATATTCCTTTGTTCAGTTTTGCATCCATCTAGCTTTCTGTTGACCGTATTCCATTATTACGTTGACCTATAATTACTTCAGACTTGTCGACTAGTTTACACTCTGGACGGTTTGTATCCATATCAATACAATGAAGATTAGGCCAATGTAATGCAGTCCAGGGTGTATTTCACCTTACTTCAAATGCTGGATATTACATTGCCAGTGTCATTTCTATTTTAATACAATTTCTGGCGGTTCTAAGTGCCAGTGCCAATGTAAATCCGGTTTATTACAAAGACGTCTAATTCTTATGTTGTTTCTATACCACTGTTATTTTAGTCCAGTTGTTTTGTTCTTCTGGTTTTATACCATGGTTGTCATGATTCAGTACATTCGAAGTAATCAGAGTGAAAATCCCTGTCACTGATATTTTGAATAACCCCAGTGGAAACAAGATTCAATAATGTTTAAATAGTAATCAATATATCCAGTTTCTAAGATATTTAGTGAATGATAAATTGACTTGATAGCAAAAAAGAAGAGAAAAAATATACCTCAATAATTTGGAAAGTCTTTTGTGTTAATCTACGCTTGAGAGGGAACGAAAACAACGGAGTGCGTTTAAAGTGATACTGATTATCAACCACACGATCTTTGAAGCTGAACACAATTTTCATATTAAACATATTATTCCATATCCAACCCGAATGTATGCTTTATCAGTTCTTGATATTATATTAGTGGCTTTCGCGATGGGACTGGTCAGTATAGGCAATACTGTGACTTCCACGTGAGACCTTATAGATTAGGCAGTCACATCGTTACAAATCATTCGTGCCAGTAGGCAACCCTCGTTCTGTTGATAGAAGAAACCAGACTAGTAGTGAACAGGTCTTTATGTAGATCGTGGGACAGTCACAGTAGATCTGGAGGTTACCTGTTCAAACACACAAATCTTTTCAACGTTCAATATAAAACAGTAGAAAATTTAGTGCCTCTAGGAGATAAGAAAGTGAATGGATACTTGAGCTCTATTATTTTGAAATTTACTTATTTGTTTAAGCTCAACTCTTAACTAATAAACCTTAGTCGTTAAAAATTTACGATTTTGGGATTAGGTCCATCATTCTAGTAGTGAAGACAAATTCACTTCATACAGACCTAAACATACTCTCTACTTAAAAATCCTTATAACAGATACATCCAATCAGTTTCTTTTCATCTGGATATCTTGATTCGTCTTAATCATTTAAAAGAGTTGAACTTTGAGGTGTGTTTAATCGGATGATAAGTTCTAAATGAAATGCTTCATAGTATCAAATTTGAATATATCCCGGCAACAGAAGTGATGTTTCACAGATGTGAAATATTATGAAGTCGCCACAAACTGAAATTCGTCACCTTAGGAAAAAAGGCACTCAGATATACTCCGGCAATAACCATAGTTAGTGGCAGCATTCCAGTGTAATGAATAGTGCTCGCCATCTGATCAGTGTTGAAAGCGTTCAGGGTGTTTTCAAAAGCGTTTCAGCAAGGAGCATTCGGTCCACAAGGGATCAACTAATAAATCTACAAGAAAATGAAAATCCGATCATTTCGAAATGTTTAGAACTGATCACCAATAAGGGACTTCTCCATTCACCGATTTCTACTCTGTTATCGGCGGCTTCATATGTGACTATTTGTAAGTTCATTGAAATGAATTTAGGCGCGACAGTGTGCTACGTGCTTCCTGTTTGTTACATGGTAAGATAATTTGTTTCTAACTTGTGAGTAACAACATAAATTTCTCTACGCAGTACGCTAGATTGAATACTTCTAACTCTAAATCGAAACTTTACTTTAAGACACGAGTCACTATTGTAACAAAACCACTCAACTGCAAGGTAATGACTCGATGGGACGAATTCACCAACTGTTAAATGCCTCTCATTGAATTAATAATAAACAAAACTGAACAGAGTCACTTCCAATAGCCTGACTCTAGAGTCTTAGGGTATCGGAATTCGATACTAGATGACCTAGGTCCAACCTCGCTTGCCAGCAAATCTTTTCGTATTCACTTCCAAAAAACGTTTTGATTTGTGTTCACGTATTCTCTTACCTCTTTCAAGGATCCTGTTAATCATGATTAGAGCTATGAAATAAGCCCACCATGCAAAATTGATCTTCTTCTCATTGATTGAACGGCCCGACCAAACATAGATAAATAATCTGATCAACTTTCAAAGGCATGATAACCATCAGTAATCCGGTTGTATCTAAACGCCCTGGTGTCATGGTAACTATGAAATTCCGGAACTGGTCGGGGTAGTATGTGATTAAAGGTCTTTCAGTTCCGACTTTTGAACATATTTGTGATAACTTCTGAAATGAATACTCCCAAGTGAAGCGGAATGTAAGGCGTCTGTCAATTAATCTGGATGTCTTTTGAATCTTGGGAAAAGTGTGTGGGACCTAAGCATGCTGTTCAATTTCCAGTCTTTGATACAGATGCACTATTGGCAACTATAGAGGCTGTAACGAGTTAATACCTCAGCCATGAAATAAAGACAACTGGGAGGCAAACGACAGATACTACACTGGTATTAGATGCTAGCTTCATTGGACACATGCTCAGAACATATACTTTCAAAACTATCTACATGATGTTTGAAAGATCCCTTCGAGTCATCAGAATGCTAGAAGACAAGGTAGCCGACAAATTTATGGTTTCGTTCTAGATCTCATCATTATTTCTTAAAACCCCACTGGATGAAAATATGCAAATCATAAGTGAACACAGTAACGCTCTTAACTTACCAGAGGATGAGTTCAACCAGCTATTGATACTATCCACTGCAGATATACAGTTTACATTTAAAAAAGTTTTCACCACTGAGTTCAAAGAAGTTTCATAGCTAGCCCACTAGGGCCGGTCCAGCAGATTGATTTAAGGGCAACACAGGATGAACAAAAAGAACTCAATCACTAGACATAACGGTACTTAAGGAATTATTACGACACATATATTGTTTGAAATAGTTATAAACATGTTTCTCGCGTGTCAAATCTGCTGAATAAAGTGTAGTTTATGCGCATTTTAAAATTGAACGAAAATATTTTGGTCGATTCCGGTTTCCCAACACTGATAACTAGCTCAGTATGGAATGCCATGGGGTAGGGTCTATTCGTTGAGGGGCACTTGAAGAGGGATTTATGTGAATCCCTGAAATTTCTGCCTTACAAACAATTATACAGTTTCGGTTAGATTACTATCCATACGTGTTTTGAAAAAAGCATTCGGGATAGAAGGTAAAAGAATTACCAACTAGACTTCACGAGTGTCCGAAGGACAACAGCAACCCACAAAAGTTTATCAGTAAGTGTGAAAAACAAGAAAAAAGGGAAACGAAAACTCACGCAATCGCAAAGGTCTGTCATTTTACCACCTAGCTTCGTAGGTGACAAAATATTGATACCAATTGTTCCCAGACTAAGTCCTGAATTGCAAAAGTTCTGTTTAATCACTTAGTTAGCTACAATGTATCAGAGAACCTGTCTCAAGAGACATTTTAAAGTTATCAAATCCTCACCTGGAGTTAATTCCAATCGTATATATCAGTTTAAATTTTCATTTTAAAGCGCTTGCATTGGAAGAACAGAAAGTAATATGCTTTTCTTCATCTCTTAGTGCACTCCATAGAAGTTAAAATTAGAAGGTCGAGTTGCTCTCAGTAGTGCTATTACTGCCATCTACATGATAATAGACCTGATGTTAATATTTCAGAATTGTTTGAAGTAACTGATACTCAAATAGCTTCGTAAATACGAAGTTTTTCTGGACTCATCCTTGCTACGAAGTCGAAACTATAGAAAAACATTAGCAAAATGCATTTTTATCTCACTGCCATGACAATTTCTGTCTTTCACAAGTGATTTCTTCAATATCCTGTTTTAAATTCTGAGTAAAGTTCCTTTCTTTAACTCTTTTTTGCTTTTCAAGCTTCACTCATTTCATTTAATATTTATACTTAACTTTAACACAAATTTTATGCTTTAAAAAGTGTTTGGTCTTTTCTTAATCTTCACATCTTGTAGATTAAATGATAATCAATTTAGTTACCTTTAAATTTTCATATGCTTTTTGCCGTTTTTCGACCAATCTTCGTTAATACGATGTGAAACAAGTACTTTGGTTGTGAGTGACTACCATTGTGATATATTGGTTTTAGTTAGTTGAAGAGAAACTGGAGAACAAACTAGTCAGTCTTATCATGTTGAGCTTGTAGAATTATGGTCTACTACGATATTATTACTGCTCTAATAATAGACCTAATCCCAAAATTGTAGATTCGTCATGATATAACTGCCTAATCTATAAGATCTTACGTGGAAGTCACACCATCGACTACACCAACTCACTGTATCGTATCAATTACCAATACCTGACGAGGAACAAGGTTAGGCTAGAGAAAGAACAATATATTTAATATGAATAGAAGATATAAAGTAACACTGAAATGGACCACGCCTGCATGGACGAGCCATGCCACTCGATCAACTCCCGTCCATTCAATTCCTTGTTCGCGCCTTCTCCATTGTTAGGTATTTCTCCGC